TTCATATACTGTTAACTTGTATTATAATTAAACAATGTTAAAGAGACTACAATACGTAGTTATATATTTATTTTATCATTACACGCAAATAAATGATTTGTCTTGCAATGCACGGCAAAGTGATGTTCATACTGAAACATATGTAAAGATAGCTTTCATACATTTGTTTGATATATGGTTATCAAAACGCTTAAAAAGATATGCTATTTGATTTGATATTAAATTGTCCTCCAAATTAAAGTCAGAAATGTAAAATAATTTTATTTATTTTCTAGAGAACACGAGTCCTTTCCGACTAGCAATAAACGATGAAAAAACAAAAATATACTTTAAACCAAAAATAATACTTTCTAGTTACACATAAAACACGGCCTACACTTTAGTGGGGTAAAACAAGGTTAAGCGCATTGTAACAAAATAAGGACGACAACTCTTTGAACATTTTTTCAAATTTCTTCTCTCTTTTTAAAGAATGTTTCCTCCCTTTAACCATCGTTCAAAGCCAAGCCTAAGATGGCATGCTACTTACATTTACCATTACTCATTACCGTATGTAAAAATGCTTTCACCTAATTTTTTACAGTATTTGCTAATCCTGTATCTATCAGGACATAAACGCCTACCTTTTGGAAATTCATAATAATCTAATGGTTGTTTTGATTGATTAAGGAAACATGGTTAAACTTTGTGAAAAAAAATCAAATTAAACAAGTGTGGCAGGAAAATAAGGAACGAAATTGACTTATTTTCCGCAGTGCAATATTTGTATAGTCCTTAACAAGTCAATTGAAAATCAAAAGAAAATGATTAATACGGTTTCAAATAAATTTTAGGCGTTAAGTATCAGTTTCTAAAAGGAAACAAATATACACTCGACTTTCTTGTCGCCGTCCAAAGTAATAGATATCATAAATTTGTCATTTGAGGCCGTATAAATATTAGGGACAGGCTAATTTTATTGGAAAAAGGAATAAATCTGCCCAATGTCAAGATAATTTGCTATATCTGATAAAAAAACTTATTTCATGGCCTCCATACTTAATAGGTTTTTATTGATCATAAGGGTTTTCTATTATAATGTTTTTTCAGCTACTTCAAATGCTATGTTATTTATTGTATTTTAAAATCTCAGCCCTTGTTTCTCGTGATATCATGTTCCATATTTAATCCAAAAAATGGGTCAAATACAGAAAAGGCCGGGTTGCATATGTATACCAAATATCTTGAGGCTGTGATGTTACTTTTCTACCATTGACCATTGATGTTGAAAATTTAACTAGGTCGGTTAACCGGAAGTGGACAAGCGACATACCTGAAATCGAATCCCACGGTATGGTACTACATGTTGATGCTGTATACCAAATATCAAAAGACTGTGATAAATAGTTGCTGAGAAAACTGTTACGAAAGTTTTTCCGCCGCCTGACATTCACCATACTATAACCCGAGTTTGCACCTGTGCAACCCGGCCAATAATAATAAGCCAAATGTAGTGCTGCACGTACCAAATCGAAAAAAGAAAACAAAACATCAACACGTTTGGTTCACAGATGGAATTAGAGAGTTAAATTATCAAAGAGATTATTTTCACAAAATTAAAGACATTGAAAATTATAAGATATAAGCTATCTTATATGAAACACAAAAAGTAAAAGTAATTTGTTTTAATTATGCAATAAAAGAACACAAAAGTACAAGTTTTCTTTGGAAAAGTTCGAAAAATATCTCTAACACGGATGATTATCATAGCAATGTTTTACCTAACACACTTCTTTTAGATAACGGACACAATATTGATGCGGAATTGTAAACGCTTTTAACGGACCTTTTATCAACATTTCAAACATAATAGAAAAGACAAGATTTCTGACTGACACTTATTCAATTTTATAACATTATCTAGTTGAAAAAATGTCGTTTCATAAATTTTATCACCGCTTTGGAAGTCAAGAAAAATCATATCAAAAATAGATGTTAAAACATCCACAGGGTTAGATGAGATAAGCTCAAAACTTGTGGTGTTTATATAACGCCAGTAATAAAATCTGTAATAAATAGCAGTATATACAGGAGTATATTTCTAAATAAATGAAGATGCTTATGTTACTCCAGTTTATAAAAAGGGAAATAAGCAATATTCGGGTAATTATTGACCCATCTCCATTTTACCGACCATTTCAAAATATTTAAACGTCATATCGCTAACAAACTGCAATCGTATTTTGAAAAGACAAATATATAACACATAAATGAAACAGATTCTGTCAAAATCATGTATGCCTCACTTCATCAACATTACACTTTGATACATGATTAAAAGAAATTGACAGTGGAAAATACGTATTTCATGATCTCCGAAAAGCATTTGATCTTGTCGATCATGAAATATTACTGCATAAACTAAAACTTAATCATTTTAATGATAGTTTTTTGAAACTATTTTTATCACACTTATCAAATAGAAAACAACTGTTAAATCTTGTAATTTGAAAGATCCGGAGTTCCACAAGGCTCAACATTAGGGCCCTTGCTATTTCTTATTAATGAAATGATATTTATTTCAGATTCTGTTTGCATCGACATGTACGCCGATGACTCAACATTAAAAAACCCGACACTGATATTCTCGGTATTATGAAAGAAATACTTGGTCCACAAATGGTGTATGAATGATTATATGTCTTTGCACCCAACTAGGTGTATGCAATATGGTTCAAAATTCAAAACTAAGTGGACTAGAAATCTCGAACTTGCTATAAGTGACATCATAATAGGAAATGCATCAAGTCAAAATATTATAATTGGGATATGTGTTGAAAGCAATTTAACATGGCATACTCAAGTGCATAATGTGATAAGTAAACACGATTAAAAAAATGCAATTTTGAAACGGATTTAAAACATATTTGAAACATGTGTGTGCGCGTGTGCGCGCGTGTGCGCGCGTGCGTGCGTGCGTGCGTGTGCGTGTGTGTGTGTGTGTGTGAATGTTTGTTTCATATTATTTGTCCATGGCCTCACTTCAGGCCACGGACAAATAATATGAAACAAACATTTACATTTAAAGTGTTTATGGAATACATTTCCAGCTGACATAAAAATACTGAATAAATTGTCAAAATTTATACGTAAAGCAAATGATTATTTAAATAGAAAATAGAGTTTAAAGCACAGAAAACTTTAAACTGATGTTTTAATGGAAATTTATATACATGTAGACCTAGATCTATTGTTTGTTTGTTTGTTAACATTGAAAGATGAGTGCATGTGCGTACTTTTTTTATTACATGTCTATACTTTCCATGAAAATGTGTTTGACGTAATTATTTTGCTGTTTATTGTTGTTTCTGTTTTCTATTTATATATGTATAGAAGAACATTGAAATTGTTGAAAATTGAAAATAAGTTGTATGTTTATTATTTACTCTAAATATGTCGCCTTATTATTATGTTACTTCAATTGTTTGTAGAGAGGTTAACTTGTCAAGGTGATATTCTCAAGTAACCATATATAATATCGTTAAATGCAGTCAAAGTAGTACAGTATTTAAGATAAAATCAAAAACATGTTGACGCTTATGTGTGCGTAATTTCGATATGCAAAACAACCTGCTAATGTAGGTCAATAATTCGATACATAGGTTCTACTATTTTGCAAGATAAAATTTCTGCGGCTCAACAAACAGTGTGTCATGTAATATTTGCTTTTATAGGATAACATGATACGAACCCGAAACACCTGACACCTGTTTGTGATAAACTTGTCTACTTTTCTTATGTTTAACAATTTCGAGTATGCAATTGTTTATTAAGTGTATTAATCATGCCGAATTTGCTTCGCTAGGAGCCCAACGGGACCTAAACTTGGCAACGTGACTTCAATGTCATTCAGTAAATTTCATCTATGTAACTAAGAAAATATATTTATCAAAATATTTGATATCTGTTTTCTTAATAGATGTCTATTGCAATTCACACATTCAAACAAATGATAAAAAAAAGTCTAAATGGTATGACTTCTTTTAAAATCGAAACCGGATGAAAATTATATGGCAAACGCTTGTTTGCTTTGTTTGTTCAAGGATAACCATAAATTTAAAGCACATCAAATCTGTATCACTATATGATATAAAGAAAATCTACAGTTCATTTAAAGTTCTTTTAAACCATTGATTTTTAAGAAAATTTATTGAAAATAAAAAATTATGTCCCGGAAGGTTTAACGTATTGTGATAGTTGTTTGACAATTAACAGTGAGAAAAATCGCACGTGCCAAATCTAGAAGAGTGCTATGTTGCACAGTCTGCATACTATGTACTTACTTTCCGGATGTCGCATGCACAGTTTAAATTTCATTTTGATTTATGGTATTCCAAAGATCCAAGTCAGGCATTCATTTATCCATTGTCTGTTGTCTTTAATGTTTAATGATTGGGTGAATGGGTTAGGAACGGCGGGGAGAATAGTATAAGTAAAATTTATTTTAATACAGCATCATAAGTTTTGAACTAACCCGGTTTATAATGAAAGTACTTTCAAAACGGAAGGGTGACGGCGTGGTCGATCTGTTAACGCCTAAGACAAGTACTTTCAGGATTGCTGGCCACATGGACTCAGGTCCTGTCAGGGTCAAGCCAATTTGCCCTTGAGCAAGAAACTTGACACTCATTGTAAGAAGTACTGGTTGGTTCAAGAGCTTCCAACACAGTCGATATAAATAAATTAGTATATATTAAACTGAAGGGGAATGACACTTATACATGCTGTCGTTTTCTTTTACACTTTTAACATTTATCGTTTGTAGCCCAGTGCAATAATGATAGCGTTATTAACTAAACATAATCTGGCTTATACATGCAGGCTTATTAAGCCGTTTGGTTTCATTTTATGGCATAAATTCATAGTTTTGCCATAATTAGATCGAATGTTTGAAAAATAGAACAACACTGTTTAATCAACTAGATTATCATTTTAATATTATGTACTATGTATTAAGTACAAATATAATGTATATACAACCTAATATTTTATTTTATGAATCAGTCTCAGGGAATGAAAACACATGTTGCAATATATTTATCTACGTTGAATTTAATTTTCATTAGCATTATACTAGTTTTGTCTTCTGTTGTACACAGTATAACAAAGTAAGTCAAGCACAAGAAAAAACGTACAGCGAAGCTTCATAAAACAATTATTTTATTTAACAAGTTTATGATCATTCAAAAAGGTACAAGAAGACAAGCTATGTACAAAGTAAAACATCAAATCATTCTAAATCTTGTATCATAGTTTGGGGACCTTTCTGTTGAAATTGTGTCAGAGTTAGGTCGTATACATATACATGCACAGTGCGTTAACTGGAGTGCAGGTATTAGTTACCCGCACTCCAGAGCATGCCCATTGATTGGCTAATTTTTGCTGGGGTTTACTTATTGTGACGGAAGATAAAGGAAAGCTACAGAAATTTCATATTTAGATGCTCGTTCATTGGTTACTTCTTTCCCGGGGCTTCATATTGTGACAACAAGGAACGTGTTTTTATGTTTGACTATGATACAAAAGAGAAAGAACATCAAAACACTCGGCAATCTGGTTAATACTCGGGGGATACGCCCCCTCGTACATATCAGATAGCCTCGTGTTTCGATGCTCTTTCTATTACATGTTACACTTTTGTGAAAAAATTGTAGCAACTATATTTGATATTTATCTCACTATTTTTTTGAATTATGTTTCCCAACAAATGTGTCTTAAGAGCAAAAAGATGCTTAAAGTCCAAATATTTGAAAATAACTTAAAATATATAAAATTATAAAGAAAATATACACATATATTGAATAGTAATGACCATTTCATACGAAACAGCTTTTTCTTTCTTTTATTTTGTTTTGTTATTTTTCAATGAAAAAATAGACCTTTTTTTGGAAACAATATGTTGCAGTTATTATCAAAATGTTGCAGGAAACTAAATGCATGTATTTAACTAAACAAAAATTACCTATTCAATTCTATGAATCTGTAGCATGGTAGCATATTATTATTATACATTTAAAACTAACGCAGCAATAATTATTACGGCAAAAAAAGATGATTGTCATTTAGAAACAATAAAAGCATTGAACATTATTGTTCCTTTTGTATTTAAGGCAATATCCTTATCCAAGAATTAAGAAATAATAAATTCAAAATTTTAAATTGGTGTATGCATGTATTCCGTTGCATAAAATCAATGATAATATCAAAAACTGATTAATAAATATGCGAACATCGATGTTAACATTTCCATGTCAGTGATATATTCTAAGCTTTATCACCATTAGTAGAGGGTGATTGTTATTTCGTAATTATACCGAACTAATCAATATAGAAAATACATATCTAAAACATTCTATTCAATAATAAAAAGCCGGAACTTGACACTCGGTAAGCACGAACGGACCGTCTGGTATAATCAGCGGTTGTTGTTACATTATGTGAAATTAAATCAGCATGCTTCTAGATTCATACTAGTTTTCACGAAAAAAGAAGATTTTTTTAAGTATAATATAATGATGAAGTGAGCAAAGGAAGTAATTTTCACATTGCAAACGACGACACTAGTACCAATATATAGGTCACAGTATGCAAAAATGTTGATAAATACTGAAAAATCATTGATTAACCGTACATAACATAAAAGTCATTACTTTTATCTTGCTTTTTATACTTTTCTTAACATGTTAGTACATTTTTCTCAAGTTAATTTTTTTTTAACTATTTGGGCTTATTCGGGGGCATGCGGCTTTAAGTGTTTCTATCCACAAATCACGCGAGGCTTAAAATCTTAATATCCCTTCATTAATTGGAATTACAATAAGATAGCATTTTGGTCAAACCTCAATACATTCAATTTTTCAACCTGTATATAATACATTCCCTTTTCAACTTTCATTATTCAAATTCATAGTATTTTAATGATTATATGATTGATTAAATAGTTCAGAAATATATTTTTTTTCAAGTTTAATAAAGCTCATTTATCGAACGAACATCTACTGATTTTCGTTTATTTGTCTTTCATCTATTTCTAATAATCTAGTATAGATACTTGATGCTTCGAAACAGAATCTGAGTTGTTCCTGAAACAAAAAGCGGTTCATTTGTTACAATTGATATAAATAAGCAAGCAATAACCTAAAGTTTTGCAAAAACGTTCATAACACAGTTTAACTGGCCAATGCGACCACGTGTTTTAAGTGACTTTTGTCTTAAATTCCCCCCGATCATTTTCTCTCTATATATTTAATGTATTAAGCGACTTTTGCCAAACGCGATCACCGACTGCTAAATAGTCAGCTAATTGAGATATCAATCTTTTCATCAAACGACTAATTCACCTGTCAAGTAATTGTGTTTTAAGAGAACGCCGCCTCGTAATGTCACAAGTATCAACACTCAAAATACAACATATAAATGTGTGAGAAACTCTATTTCCCAAACCGTGTTAGCGTATGCAAATGAAGTTAAGTATACGCGTGACGTGTAATATTCAATAATATCGATAAAACAATGCAACGCTACGCCCCTACTGAGATGATGTATACGCTTCGCTGTTGTAGTTATACTGCATTGAATTGACCTTGAACTTGAACAGCAATTAAATTAATCGTTCCAATTAGATGTAGTTTGTTCATTTTAAATGAAACATGCACAGCAGAGAACTTCTCACTTGTTAAGGTTTTCGTGTTGGAGACAAGGAAAAACATCGGAAAAGTTCTGGAAAAGTGTCAAACATGTACGTTATGGATCAAAACTGTTTTGTCAAAATATCAGAAAGCTTTTTTTACATTAGCATCCATTTTAAGGTTATCGGAGCGTTCTAATTATTAAACATTTATATAAATGAAGTTCAAAAACATTCCCACTGCAAAAGAAAGATGTCTTGTATAAATTTTGACTTTTTTTTATCATGCTTTGTCTTAAGAGAACGTTTCATTAAGCGACCGTTTTGGATGTTTCCCTTGCGCGGTCGCTTAATACACGTTTGACTGTATAGTATTAGTATCGTCTATGTCAACGTTTAATTGAACCGTGTGTACATGTTTTACATTTTTCAAGTTTGTGTGACTTTAATAGTGTCCAAAATGTATTGTTTTGTTACAAATATCGTTGTCCACAAACATTTTTGTAATATATTTTCATTACCATTGAAATAATTGCTGTCCGTCTCCTTGTTCTGAGATGTCTTAGTGTACTTAACACGCTGACATGACCCTCTAACTTCAGTTTCTCGAATATAATTGCCAAAGCACAGAATAAACCGCTCCTCTCGTTTGCATTGCTGCAAAAAGTATATAATAATTATGATATTGGTGCCTTTTGTATTAATGACTTTTATATATTTTTATGTGTCAACATTAGAGTCTTCGATTTGTATTGGAAAATAATAAATGGTACATTTTTTAATCGGATACCTAACTATAACATAATTTATTCTTTAAAAATCAAATGAATGCAATTGAAACAGAACCTCAAATTCAAAACCACCTAAGTAGATAGTTTAGTTCTTAATTAATATTGGTCATACGAATTTATTACAGTTCGATTGCGTTGATATATAATATTTATAGTCCAATATATTGTAATATTGTGAACTCATTGAAAACTACAAACGCGTATGATTAAAAAAAAAATAAATTTGCGTTGCTTTCAGAAAACTTGCTAACATATAAAATATACTAACAGGCAATGGACAAGAATATGAAATTTCTTGTCGCCATGTTCTTTTGCTTTTTGCTGAACTTCGCATACAAACTGCACAAAATCTTCTGTGTACTCTGGAGTGTCCTTCTCTGCAAGCCATTGTGTGTATTGGAAGTGGTATACACTTTTTGTACCGCATTTGGACGACTTGCAAATACCAAAGTCATATTTGTATACGAAGCCTATGATACTTTGTATTTACCATTTTTCAAAATAAACCATACAAATAACAATTAACTTGATATGAAATAATCATTTAAATGAAAACAGTTTCTATTAGAATGTGCTGATAAGCTCACCTTGTCTTGATGGGATATAGTAAGTTTCTTCAAAACAAAGTGCTTTTTCTGTTGAATTAACGAGCTAGAAACAATGAAATTTCCATAGTTCAGCTTTTGTTTTCTTTCAGGAATGTATTTGCCAACTGACTGAAATAGTTAGAAGTTGTTTCATTTCGTATTCTCTAATCCAACTTATTGCATTGTCTTTCTTTTATGGAATCTATTGCATTATATAGCAAACGACATAATTATATTCATTGTCATTATAATAATTATTAACAAAACGACATAAAATGTATTTGCAACCAAAAGCAAACAATATATTTCCCGATCAAGTAAAACATAAACATAAGAGCATAATTATGTTTTTTTCTACTTCTACTTATTATTTTTTGTATTATTCTTGTTCTTCTGATTTAGCTTAGATTGTGTAATATTGTGCGATATATTGCCTTAAAAAGCAAGGACAATGTAAATATTAAATTTATTTCTTTATTCATTTTACCATTTCTGATACATTCATGTCATCTAAAGAGACAACGCATATGCAATCTTCCTGATAAACCATAGAGACAAAGTCCTCAACAGTTATAGGTAGTGGTGACTGGGCCATTATAAAGTTGTTTGGTTTTGTAAAACTCTGAAACAGAATTAAGATAGAAATTAAGTTTAAATAAAACCAAACGATTTAGAAAGTCGGTGACTTGTGTTATTCATTTTCATTTATTATGCTCCCCGAAAAATTTCGGGGGAGCATATAGTCGTCGGGTTGTCCGTCCGTCCATCTGTCCGTCAGTCCGTCCGTCCGTCCGTACGTCCCGAATTCGTGTCCGGTCCATAACTTCATTATTTGAAGTCAGATTTTAAAGATATTTCACAGAAATGATCACAATATTGAGACGATGTGTCGTGCACAACATTTGGGTCACTACCTTGAAGGTCAAGGTCACAGCATGACCTTGCAGCAAAATTGTGTCCGGTCCATAACTTCATTATTTGAAGTCGGATTTTAAAAATATTTCACAGAAATGATCACCATATTGAGACGATGTGTCGCGCGCAACATTTGGGTCGCTACCTTGAAGGTCAAGGTCACAGCATGACCTTGCAGCAAAATCGTGTCCGGCCCATTACTTTGTTATTTGAAGTCGGATTTTAAAACTATTTCACAGAAATGATCACCATATTGAGACGATGTGTCGTGCGCAACATTTGGGTTGCTATCTTGAAGGTCAAGGTCACAGCATGACCTTGCAGCAAAAGTGTGTCCGGTCCATTACTTTGGTATTTGAAGTCGGATTTTAAAAAATATTACACAGATATGATCACCATATTAAGACGATGTGTCGCGTGCAACATCTGGGTTGCTTCCTTGAAGGTCAAGGTCACAGCATGACCTTGCAGCAAAATCGTGTCCGGTCTATAACTTCATTATTTGAAGTCGGATTTTAAAAATATTTCACAGAAATGATCACCATATTGAGACGATGTGTTGCTCGCAACATTTGGGTAGCTACCTTGAAGGTCAAGGTCACAGCATGACCTTGCAGCAAAATCGTGTCTGGTCCATAACTTTGTTATTTGAAGTCGGATTTTAAAAATATTTCACAGAAATGATCACCATATTGAGACGCAGGGTCCGGAACATTTGGGTCTCCACCTTGAAGGTCAAGGTCACAGCATGACCTTGCAGCAAAAAGCGTGTCCGGCCCATAACTTTGTTACTGGAAGTCGGATTTAACAACTATTTCACAGAGATGATCACCATATTGAATCGACATGCCGCATGCAACATTTGGGTCCCTACCTTGAAGGTCAAGGTCATGTCATGACCTTGCAGCAAAATCATGTCCGGCGCATTACTTCGTTATTTGAAGTCGGATTTTACAACTATTTCACAAAAATGATCACAATATTGAGACAATGTGTTGTGCACAATATTTGGGTTGTTTTTACACTTTGAACTTTGTCTGTGGCATAACTCTGACACAACAAGAGGTATACCTTCCTGTGTCCAAAACCTAATCGGGGAGCATCACCCGGTTCAACCGGCTCTTGTTTGATTTGCTTTGCAATGATAAATTATAAAACTGCTTTCTCATTTTGGTAAAAAACTAATTGGTATGAAAAGCATTAAGCAGAAAAAAATATAAATCCTAAGTATCTTTTGGAAAGACATTAAAAAGAAAATGACGAACCTTCATTTAAATCTTAAAGTAATAAATAATATGTGTTTATGTTAATATTCTTACATTTATGAAAACAGCGTTAATATAATCAGAATCCTCTTTTCCCCTCCGTAAACGCAAATAAACACGAAACATGTCACCTTAAAAACAATTAAACAGAACGATTATTTTAATCATGTGGCATTTGTTATTAATACAACCAATCTTTTTGAAAATAGGGTAAAGCTTGAATATATCGTAAATATTTCATATATTTGATCATGCCCACGATATAATTTCTTACTAAATTTGTTATCTTATTTAAAAGTTCTGAAAGAACAAAGGACTAATTCAACGCATCGATTCAAATCATTATGCTCAATCCATTTATTGGACGTAATTTGGAATGCAATGTCGTTTGATGGCAAATAACATCGTTTTGGACATTAATGCAACCTAATTTAAATGAAAATCATTGCCTGGTATATCAGCTCCTGGGCAATTTTTCTTGGTTTGTTTTTCATTTCGTCTGCATGCATCTTGCTCATTTTTCTTTTGCGTCTCCACGGTTTGATGCAATTGCTTGAAAAAAAAGCATTAATCTTGCATACTAAAATAGGCACACTGGTATGATAAATTAAGAAACAAATCTGCAGATGTCAAATCTCGAAGAACGGTGTATTAACCCTCTAGTGTAAAGCATCACATGTAAATATAAGATTAAGTATTAGTTTAAAGAAAGAATGATAATGAACTAACCAAATGAGAAAAAATTATAATCATAATTTCAAGAATTTACACAACTACTGATTAAAACCAATCATTATGTAATGACAGTTTTTGCCTGCTTTGTAATAAGATTATATTTCCTTACACAAGGAACCTTCTAAAGGGACGATTAATCTGATGAAAATACAAATGGATGCAACTTCTCCGGTTGAACTTGTGACCATGATGTGAAAACTAAGAAAGTGAAAACATCATTATATAACACAAATCTGACACAAACCTGAAAAAGTTTGCTGTACTCATTATTACTTGTCCTTTCAGTGTACTCATGCAAAGACGACAACGAAATTGCTTCACAGTCGAATGTCAGTGCAGTAACAAGTGCTTTGTAGACATAAATATATTGCTCCTGAAACATCAAATACAGCTAATTTCGGTTTTTAAAATGAACCTTCGGACTATGTGTACGTATTATTATTTCATAAAGAAGGGGACAAAACAATAGGTATACAAATAAATCAAGTTAAAATACCACCTTGAGTATGAAGTTTATACATGTTTTCAATAATGAGTATTAGTCATTTAATGGCTTTTTATGTTATGTCTTCAGGAGATTTCATTATATTTTAAAATAATTTAATCACTAGAGGTAAACTATAAAACTTTTTCTTACGAGCGTTTGCACCATCTTAACACGTTGCCCTCTCATATGTTGTACACATTCAAATACGTTTAAGTCATGATTGGTGTGTCCTTCTCGTATTAGTCTGTCCAATGCTATAAAAGTTCCAGTCCTTCCTATACCAGCACTGAAAATGACCGTCCATACAATGATATCATAAATGTTGATCAAAGCTAAGTCCATCAAACTTTTTAAAGTGACATTATGCTATTTCCATTGTCAAGTTGAACTGAATTCACTATATATTTCAAAAGATTTACTGTGGTGACCCACCAACATTTGATATAAGAAAATGTTAAGGAAAAAGTATTATCTGCCTATGATATCAAAAAACTTCTTTACAATTTGAACGTTACATGTTTAATTTAATTGATATGTACAGACATTTCCTTTGGTCATATAAGTAATGTATCATTTATGTGATGTAAGTCATACAATTGCAAAGAATTATGGCAAAATTGTTTGGACTTTCAACTGTTCATTTAATATATAAGAAAACAAAATTTTAATTATTTTTGATCGCGATACCAGTACAGCAATTTAAAAAAAAAATGTTTATTACAAATACAGAATAACAACAACATATTAAATGATTGTTATTATATAATAACCATTTTTGATTTTGTGCCGAAATACTTTCATTTCACATTTTTCGAACACATAAACGTTTCTGTATATTAATACAAATAAGAATATCAAACTTAGGTTGACGTTCTCACTAAAGGTGCTATTATTTAACATATAATACGTTGATTGTCCCCTTTTTTGGATTTGAATCAAATGTCAGCTATATACAGATATGATCTGTAAATTGAATAAGAATTATGATATTTTTTACTCTGATTTCAATTCGGATTGACTTTACAGATTCATTACTGGAATACAACATAATGAGGTACTCTTTGTGCATTATTTTAAGCATGAACTGGCACCTGGGTAAGAGCACTGGCATTTGGTTTGCTAGCAAAATAGCTTCCACATACAACACAATCCAAAGTCAATGTTGGAATTTAACCCACAGCATACGGAATAAGTGGTTCAAAGTCCAAGACATTGACTACTTGCCCACAGACGTCCCTAATAAAATATAATTTAAGTTAAATGACCAAACGAAATGTGTAGTTAAAACACATACTTAAGTATGATAAGAATTGTTTTATGATATAAAATTTACCTGCAGTGCACGATTACAGGTCCAGTAAAATGTGTTGGTGTTTGAATCATTCGCTGTCGAAATTCAATCAAACTCGTGACATCCTCTGGGACTGACTTGTCCGGCCATGCAGTAAAGTGAAGTTGTGTAACATACCTCTTTTCGTTTTTCTTTAACACATTTCAAATAAAAGTGCGATAATTTGTATCCAATACATTTAAAGATAACCATTAAATTGTTTGTATTCACTTTGAGTAATTTCAATATGTCTGTCTTGGATTTAAATAGATTACATACAAGATTTTGTCGTTACCTACATTATGCATTAGGCGTGCATGATTTTTATTTGTTCATACAAGCAATCATCATTTAGCTACTGGTGTCATTTCTAGTTAACAATAGCGTACATAATAAAATGTATATAATCGTGCTATCTCTAACAATGGCAATATTTTGAAACATTAACCTTTAGCAACTGAAATCGTCTGACTGTATACTCAGCAAATATATCCGATTTCATGCTGGAAACACATATGTCGCCATATGTTATTTTTTCTGACCCCGGCCAATATTGTTCGCATTTCATTCCCTGAAAAACGGTTGGAATGCTTTAAATGCAGACTTAATGCTAATGAAAAACATATATAATGATAATTTGTCTTTCGTTTTGGAAATAAAAGGAAATGCTCATACACTCGTTTTAAGTATCACTGGATTGCAATTTTTATGTTTACTTGTCTTTCAATGCGTCAACGTTTTAACAATTCTAGTTTTAAGAAATAATAATGACATTTATTTTCTAATCTATATTGTTGATGTTTTGACTTTTAGTTGCTCGCCATAAAGACGTTATCAGCGCTAGAAAGGAAAATCAACTTGGTTAAACAATACCGATAATTCCCGAAGATTTGTTAGCATTACAATAACGTCTGATTGTTCATACCACACCATTTGCCAAAAGGTTATAAAGTTGTTTGTCGTTTTAACTGTAGGACCTAGATATAAAAAAAATAAAAGCGATTAATACACTATTATGGTTTCAATTTCGCAAAAATGACTAACAACATCATGCATTTTTTTGTTGGTATTTTTGTGCAATATATATATTTCAATCTTGTGCAAAATATTCATATGGATGCTATTTGATTTAAGCAGTGGCATCAAGATAAATTGTATGTAAAAAGAACAGTTGTTAGAAGAACATCGAGAAACACTTTTAAGACATTCAAATAAAGTTGTTCTTAAATCAATTTAAACAATCAAAAATCAACTTGAATGAAGCTTTCGAGTAAAAGTGTAAAACGTTGGCGATGTTCTTTTTACGGAACGTTCTGATCTTTGGCATCATTTACATCTTTTTCATCCTAAGACAAATATGAATGTTGTCAAACAGATTGATCGCAATTCCTCAAATAGATGGTTAATAAATTTACATCAATAGGGTCAAACGGTTACTTCAGTCTTAAAAGTAATGTATAACTACCTAATGACGCAATATATGCGTTACGTCTCTCAAATCCCTGCAAATAGATAAATCATATTCGAAATTTGAAAGTGTTAATAAGAAAGTAAGTTTTTGATCTTTTTATCATTATTTTTCATTCTTACTAACGAAAAACAAATTGACTAAATAATGAAATGCATATGTACATCAACTTACATCTATGTAGCATGCATTCATGAAAAATTCCGGTATTGAAGGTATCTTGACCCTTGAGTGGTCATCTGAAATGTGAAGACTATAATTGCATGGACATTTCAAAGTTTTTAACGAAAAATTTATATGACCCTTAAAAGCCGTCTTATTTATTACTTTTCCCAAAAACAAAGATTAAAAAAAATATGGCCCTAAAAAGTATGAGTAATTATCGCAGATGAAATAAAATTCAGAAACATGTTCTCAAAAATGGAATTTTAGAGTTTAATTGTCTCACAAGGAAATATCCCATTGTATCTGTTCAATGCTATGTTTTCAGGTTGTGTAGCAAAATTGCATGGTTTCTGGAGTTCTGTAGGTATATTCTGCAAAAATACATAGTAAACATCTGTTTGAAAAATACTTGCCAGTTTGTGATGATAATATTGAATTATTTTGTTTATGGCAAGATGAAATTCTGCATCTTTTTGTGCCAAACCTGAGGATATATCAAGATTAACGCCTCGCAAGACATTACTTTTGTTTCAACAGTAACTTAAGTTAATAAAACGAAATCATAACCATATATCAAGGAAAAAAATCTAAATAGTGTGTGACTTAATCATCTAAATAGTATAACAATAACAGTATAACGGATCTAAATTTACATTTTTATTGCGAATATGTGCCAACGATGCCCAAAGGATTTACTTTACATTGCTCACACATTATAGTTACAATTATCACAGTATAGCTTGTGAAACAATAAGTGAAAACTGAAGCTATATTTGACAAGCTATTGCAAACTTATGATCATAAAGTTTCTCAAACTAAAATTTACTAAATAAATTTAGATCAATTTTGAACTTTAAAACATGCACTTATCATATAAAGTGAAATAATAAAGACGAAAGAAACTCTATCATGGAAAGGAATTGATATAAGTAATATGCTTTTTACCAATCCATATATATTGTAAGGTACAATGATACATGCTTGTATATTTGCCTAATAAAATATGATTTAGGACATTTTCGGGAGTTTTCATATATACATATAGGCATAATTAAAACTGTTCCATAGAATTTCTTTAAACTTGGCAGGTTGTTAGAATATGATAACAAAAACATTTTAAGCAAAAAATAATTTGGGTCACCGTTCTCATTATTGAGTTATCTGCCCCTGAATCAGAATTTTCTACTTATTTGAGGTCATTTAAAGTGCAGATAACATATACATACGTAAATGAATTCTTGCTTTTACTTGTGGATAATGTTTTTCTTTTTATTATTGAATACAATACATAATAACATGCAATTCCTTATGTTGTTTCTGTAATTTTTTTTCATTGAAAAAAAAAGGTGTTTTAAATTCATAAAAATAGGCCAATTTTTATGAAAAAATGCACAGGTTAAGAGAAGACGTGTGAAAAAAAATATCCACTCTAAATTTGTTCTTGAAATTTTGCATATTGACTAAGACGAAGGTAAGCTTCATGAAAATAGAAAAATAATAATGTATTGGTTTGCTTCATTGTAAATTATCTGCCCCTGAATTTAACGGAAAAGTTCAATTCAAGGGCAGATAACTCGAAAATGAGACAGGTGACCCCAATTTGTTTCCGTTTAAAATGTTTCTTTTATCATATTCTAATAACATGCCAGTTTTAATTTTGGCTATTATGTCTATATGAAAACTCCGGAAAACATCTTTAACCTAAACTAAATAAGACAATTTCATTGAAATCTATTAAAGTCACATTCTATTAATAAATAATGAACAACATCGAAATAAAGACATAATATGCAAACTATAATAAATAGTTAACATTTAGGCGTTCATATATCTTAATACGTCTAGAGTATTACCTGATATTCGAGTGCAAAGTCATCTTCATTTCTACCGACAACATATTGATACAGTTCTGATACTTTTATTGTATCAATGTTTTCTATCTTTTCAATAGAATTGTAGTATTCAGTGCGCTCATTTGTTTCAGCAGGATTATCATCAACTTCTTGCAACATCGTTTCATTTAAATCTGATTCTTGTCTTGGCATTTTGTCCTTGTTATTTACCCTTGCTGGTTTTGATTCCGTTTGTTTACCTGTATTCAAAACATGCAAAAATACTATGAACATTTCTGGATATGTTTTTAATATTTTATGCAAATAAGATCATTGACAAAAGGATATAATGCAATTAATTAACCATTTTTTGCTGAAAATGCATCGAGATTATCATGCATAGCAAAATATTCCGTTTACAATAATACTTAAAATTATAAGATGTGACGAAGAAAAAAATGTTATAAGATGAAGTTTATTTTATAATAAATTGAAAGTTATGTTAATATCTATGATATAATTATAAATGATTTGTTCTAGACATGTTGACCATTAATTGTAAGATAATATGAATTTAAAAAAAGATGTAAAAAGAAATCTTACGAAACGTCGTCATGTTTTGGTAATGTGGTTCGTTAGTTTCTCTACCAATACGCCTGTAAGTATGCATAATGATAAGAATGATGAAAATTAGTAATGAAGAATATTGTACAATACTACACCAGATTTTAACTTGCAATAAATATATCTTGTGTGACTTATTGTGTCTGAGATACAAGAAAATATGCATCTTTCATGGTAAAGGTGTATTGTACAAAATTACCATTGCAGCTTATTGTTTTATACATAGTAGGTTAAATTTATTTTATGTCATATTGCTACACAATCATAACGCGTTCCAGTTTGTATGATATTGAAAATGTCTCTCCCCTTTAGGCTGGACCTTATTAGGTTCTTAAACTACTTTACTGGAGTATAAAGACATTAAAGCATGTAGATGATTTTGTAATATAAGCATGATAACTAATTATTGTCCGAAAATATTGATCTGGAAATGTTGCATATATGATATGTTGTAAAAGACAACGTTTACGCTCATAAGGTATTTTGTTCGAGTCAACCTAGTATCTGTTTTTTTCATGCTTCAATGGTTGTCTACCGTTTTTACTTTTGAATGGTTGTATGTCTATTCGTATGCAGCAGTGGCATCGACTGTTATGGCATGTTTGAAATGATTTTGTAAAATTACAATAGGACAATTACTTAAAAAAGCAATGTACATCAATACTTCTATACTAATTAACAAAAATAAAGCAGATCGAGGTCAATTCGAATCTCACTTCAAATGGCACAAATATTGCCCTTGGCTCGGCTTTTTTTGACAGAATAACATACTGTGATAAAGACACTTATGGTATACTTATACTAGTATACACTTACAAGAAAACAACCTTAAGAAGAATGGAAGGAATATCTAAGTTTTCAAACAGTTTGTTCAACAACCGGAAAATGTATGCAAAATAGGCAGTATCATCTTTGGACAATATACAGTTAAAATATTTAATCTTCCGAAAATGACACACAACATTTTAAGTAGATCTTAGATGGCATACCCGTCTCCATATTCCAACTGTACTTAATTATTTGTTTTATGTTTGATAAAAATTTTGACTTTCATCCAGAAAAAGGAACATTGAACACTTAATTTGTTAGGCTTAATTTATAAATGGTAGTCAGATGTTACATTTAATGTACTGATTTCAGTTCATTATAAAGATGTAATGTTTGAACATATAGTTACAAAATTATTTTATGGAAATTACTTAATGTTATATGTATCCATGTACATGTTATGTAGAAACATTGGCTACTGTTAAATGTTAAATTGAGTGCACTTTAAAAACTGCAAAATATTGAATTTTACCTTCTCCTGAAAATCCAAACAAATAACATAACCGAAAGTGAAGCACCAAATATGCCGCATACAGTTCCCACCAAAATTCCAATTATGTTGTTGTTCTTTTCTGAAGGTTTCACTGAGATAGAACAAATAATGTAATAATAGTGATTATGTGTTAAAAGAGTGTGATATGATTTTGAACAATACAAAGAATATACATTTTGTGTTCATCACAATATCTTTTTTACGGCATAAGAATCTTTTAAAAGATACATGAATAAATTCTTTACTGCCAGAAACCATTTGACTTTAATCTAAGCTTGGAATTTCTTTTGATTTTGTAACCACTATCTGCATTAGCCATGAACTGTTAGATATTCCATTTAAAAAACAAAACAGTAGACTTTTTCTAATCTGTTTAGCTAAGCTGACCACTTGTTTTTGTAATGAAACTGATTGAAATATTTCAGTAATACTTATTAAGTATAGGTTACACTAAGCTTCAAGGAGCGTTAATAAAAAACTATAAATTTTATGTTATTTTCGTGCCACTTTAAAGGCAACATGATGTATATAAAGTTTTGTAGTTTTCAATTAGTTATAAAATGAGAGTTAGATAAATGAAAGTATGCAAAATTGATAAAAATGTACATAATAACATCTTGTTATTAAACAATTATGACAGTTTTGTTATGTTTTATATTTTACTTACTTCTTGGGATTAAATTAAATATTTGCTGAGATAAACCTATCTCATTTTGTATTATCAACTTGTATTGTCCATAATCTGTTTCTGTAACTGTCTTGAATGTAAGATTTGATGTCAGGCCCAATGTCACTATTTTGATGTTTGTGACATCAATCAACTTTTCCCAATAGGTACCCTTATCTTTGAACCATTCAAAATCTGGCTTAGGATTGGCCAGAGCAATATAAGATAATGTTATTGTCTCATGTAAATTACTGTTTACATTTGTATTCAAATAAAACAACGGTGAAGCTAAAGGAGAACCTGAAATATAACATAAAAGTTTGTTATTAAACTGTCAGTTTATAAAAAAACACCTTACAAGAAACTTGAATATATTTCATACACTGGAAATATTTTAAATAGTTGAAAAACATAAATCAACATACTTTACGAGAATGGCGATTGCATTTCAAGATAAACTACAGTTTCCAGATTTGTTGTATTGTTATCAAACATGCACTAGAATATATAAGCTGCACTGATTCATCAACTTTTAAGTAGTTACGGTTACTCACATCTGACTTTTACTAATAGTTCTTTAGAAGATGTCATTCTGTTAAAGCTGTTGTTTGCCGAACATTTGTAAATTCCTTCGTCCAGACAAGATCTGATCCTATGGGTGTGTATCAAAGTGTTTGCTGATGATTTGCGCAGTAAGGCTTTTTCTTTAAATGTTAATGTCATATATGATCCTGGATTGCTTTCAACACTGCAGTTAAATGTCAAAGTCTTGTTTTCAGTTATTTGGATAAAGGATGTGTTATCATTCCCTTGGACGAAGAATTTATCAATTTTGCTTGGAACTGCAATTTTGATAATCATATATCATGTATTTTATTTCAGTTTCAAGGCATTTTATTGTTGGATTATCTAGTAAAGTATGACTAACAACAGGTCCTTATAGATTATTAACAGAATAATAACAAAATACAATTAAAATAGTACGGTGACTTAAAGGGTCCATCTGAAATATATTTCAACCACGTGCGCACGCGATAGCTACTAAGTTTGCACGTACAAAATATTACGGGCGCACGTTGTAGCTATCGTATTCGCATGTAGTAGCTATCGCGTGCGCACATTGTACCTATCTCGTGCGCACGTGATAGATAAAATATTTCTGATGTCCCCTCCATGCCACCTATAATACTCATGTAAATACTTTTGAATTGTAAAGAAAATACTTATGTTAGCAGATAAGCAGAGGCAAAAAATGTGTAAAAATTAAATTACATAACACATCTATAAACAGAAAAGTGGTGATATTCCGTCGTTCTTCATATTCCGGAATACTTCGTCTTAATATATTCTCAGCAATACACGCATACTCTCCGCGCTGATCCCTGTTTATATTGTGCATTGTCAGATTTGGTGACTTATCCTTGCTAATAGTTTCCCATGTATATGTAGGGGAAGGAGATCCGCTTGCTTTGCAGGTAACTGTAAATGAGGAATTTTCAACAACGGAAATGTTGTTGATTCCTATGATGCTACCTACACCTTCTCGTTGAGAATGATTGTGAAACGTTAAAAAGGGTTTTCCGGGTGGATCTAGTAAAATAAGAATTAAACTATGTTATGATTCAAAATACAAAAAGAGTAAGAAAAAGATTTTAATAAGTCGGCGTATTATGCTGTTTGTCACATATTGTTGTTTAGTGTATTGTAAATATTTGAAGGTTATAAATCCATATTGATATACTGTATATACTTAATCAGCTTTTTTGTTCGAAATATATATTTTGAAACGTAATTAAAACCATGATACGTATTATATAACCGCCAATTACGTAGTAAGTTTTAAAGGAACTCCGCTGATGTTTTTAGAAATATTTTTGTGAGATAATATACGTAGTCTTTACCAATGAAAGATGTACTAAATTTCTGCACATTTGTTCACACCATTTTTCAAGATAAATCATTTTTTATTGTTAAAAAATGACTTTCAATTGAAAAGCGCCCATACGTCATCGGGCTAAAAATCGCATAACATCGATTTTAGTTAAATTCTGACTATCTTTCCTAACAATGTGTTTTTCATATTTTGTTTTGAGCGGCGTTAGTACTTCAGTTGAGTCCCTTTGATATACGTACATGAAACAATTATTGATATCGTTGTGTTTGCAGAGCTATTTCTTACAACTCCTACAGTCTCGTGCATTTCATTTGAAGCTACGCATGTTTGATTTATATTTGTCTTTATTGAATTTATTTTTAATACGGAATCCTTGCTGTATCCGATCCATAAATTATTAGGACTAGGATTTCCATGTGACTGACACGAGATCATTATGCTATCATCTTGAATCACATGCAATGTTTCATTCACAATAGGAGTTTCCAGTTCAGAAAGTATGAAATGAAGGATTGGTTTGGTGGGAGGAGCTGAAATTGAGTAAATGTATTTTGCGTCAGGACTGCAAAATTAATGTTTATCCTAGTATTTTTCATCCATTTGTGGATAAAAGTGCCATTGATACATTTTATGTACATATACTCTACACGTTTATTTAAATTTGTTAAACCTAACATGTTTTCAAAGAGTATGGCATTATTTTCAAATTTGTTAATAAAAAAGATATGATGTTTTATGATTAAACTAAATATTTGTGCAAATAACATATGGTTTCGGTGATAAAAATGTTCAAATAATGACTATATATTACTCACACATTACTTCAATTTCAAGACTAGCAGTATTATTTACTTGAACGTAGGTACCATTTGTATGCGCAATTACATTACTTGCAGTACATTGCAAAGTGTCATTTTTCGATATGTTTGATAGCATAAAAGTCTGTGTTTCAACTTCTCCAGATATTCTTGACTGCCATAAATAAATTGGATGCGGATCGCTGTCGCTCAAACAAATTATTGATACGTTGTTTCCTAAGATATATCGTACTTTGTTACTAACTATCGTTTCATCAATAAAGAATTCTGGCGTGCTCGGTGGATCTAGAATTATAAAACAAAAAAAGTGATATTTATTTTTAAATGAACATGCATCTGATACATGTGAAATGGTGCTGAATAAACATAAACACCGGCCTTTTAAAGCAAATTCATACATAATTTTGTCAGTTTGTAGATGCATATATTAAAGCATAACAAACACTTAATCCTAATTATTTCGACACACTTTGTTTAATTTTAGTCAATACTTTCATCTTTTTACTTGAAACCAACCGAATAATTAATTTCATTTCACTGTGTTTGTTTAAATGTAAATACATTTAAGTAAAATGTAAATACATTTAAGTACATGTACTTTTATGTCTCCATCCATTAAGAAGGATCTTTACCACTTTGAGATAAATACAAAAAAGCTTTAACGAGAAAGGGAATAAAAACAGTACATATTAGTTCGTGAGGTAAGATCATTGATAGGAATACACTGTTCTATAGAACGATACTATTTAACAAAACATTCAGAAAAGGGGACATTTTTCCATATGAAAAAAATCTTTATGTAATTTAAAGATAATATGTGTCATTAAAAAGGATATAATGAGCTAATCTCAAATTATTTTGTTGAATTTACATAGATATAATCACTAAAAGATATTTTTCTTACATTGTACATATAAAGTCACTTCTTTGCTTGCCGTAGCTGGTTTTCCGTTTGTTGCCTCGCAGAAAATACGTGTGCCATTTACACCCCTTTCCGGTATTATTTCAAGGTAACTTCTAGTTCTCTCCATGCCCATGTTTTCAATGGTTTCTGTTGAGATATTACTTGTAATTGAATTATTTGTGAATTCAATTACCTTGTCATCTGTGATTTGTTTCCATGTTATCTGTGCTGCAGGGCGCCCAACAGAAGTCTCGCAAATAAGAAGTGCCGGTATGTTTTCTATAATGCTAACTTCATGGTTTCTGGATGCATTTTGAATATTTACTGATGTAATTGATACTGAAATAAAACTATATTGTGATTGATGGAAGCAAAACATCTTAAAATATTAAGAACTATTACAAATGAACTCTAATTACTTTAAGTTAATACTTCCACCAAAAAATGCCTTTCTAAAACAGTGTACCTGAAGAACTGTTAAATATATTAAGAAAATATTTGTATACATATACGCATTATATTTTTGTTGATTTCAATTTCAAGCGATTTTAATTTGCAAATTAAAGAAAACAATTTTAAATTATGAAACATTTCGTCAAAAATAAATAAAAGAAATTGATACAATACCTCTAACATATATAGTAGACAAATCACTTTTTGCGTTATTTCCGTCTTCACAATTCAGTTTTTGACCGTGTTGTTGCCTAGTTACGTTGGAAATACGCAATATCACCTCGTATAAAGTTAGGCAAGTTACAGAATGAGTGGAATTATTAAATCCATATAATTTGCATGTGCCATTGTTGTTAATAACAGTTGCAGTATCGTTACTTTCTTTTGTATATTTGTTCCAAATTAAAAGTGAGACTTGTTTACTGGTAGTACAGTTGAAATCAATGCCTTCATTTTCAAAAATATCAGCTAGAGTAGGAGTCAACGATACACGTTCAGCATTTCCGTCTGAAAGAAATTATACAATGTCAATTTCTCTTTCTTCTAAAATCGCATTTGATAAAGGCTTATTGTTTTATTTTATTTATTATATTAATAAAGTTGCAAACAATTTTCTTCCAGCTTGTACAGCTAGTGGGCATTTTCCGATTTCAGTTAGTTTAAACAATATTTTATTCAATCAAATATTTATACACAATAATTATAATTACAATCAAATGCAAAAATGATTGAGTAGAAAGTTAGAAGCTTTTTAGACACTCTCTGCCTCAATACATTAAATAATAAATATTATTATATAATATATAAAAAGCTTTGAAATGCCTTTCCCTGATTGGCTAACAAGCAACTTTTTGTAAAAAAATAACAGGTCAATATCAGAGTATATTCACTGTTTTTTTTTCTAAAAATAGATTTTCAGAGTAAGTTCACCGGTTTTTCTTCTAAAAATAGATTTTCTGGAAATCCCTTTAAGATGCGAGACTTTTACGTGACGTCACGACAAATTTGTTGTTATTATTCTGAAAAAAACTGTGTGTGGGTGTACATAAGAGTCAAATTAGTCTATTTTAGTTACCGTTTTTCATTTTAAAGAACAATAGGGATTAGCATGCCAATGGAAAGGGCCAAATTATGGAAACAGTAGACAAGCTGAAAAATAATGATTTCCGTCGTATGCAATGGCAGATGTGATCAGCCATATAAAAGCTATTTATAGATTATATAATAAAACAGATATGTACTTTTTAGCTGTTGAATATGATGTGATATGTACTGAAAACATTAATATTGACCTCGGCGATATCGATTGCCTCGGTCAATATTAATGTTTTCAGTACATATCACATCATATTCAACAGCTAAAAAGTCCATATTTGTATCACCAAAATACTAACGTCTTGTAAACAGTTTTATAACTGTTACACAATTTTAGACAAACAAGTCAACAGAGTAGAATGGTCTACAGTGGACACATTCTTTCATAAGTACTATAAGAAATATTGATTAAAATAATAAAAAATGTATCATTTGGATATTTCCTGCTTAGGAAAATAGCAAAATTAATTCAAAGTGATTTAGGACAAACATTTTTATATGAGGAATAATTTTATTAGGTTCTATCTGCTATATGAGTATATGTAATATTGGTTCTCGATTTCACACTTGCAGACAACATTCATAATTGATTTCATTGGTGGTCTGTTGTTATGTCAGATAATAAATGCTAGCATCATAGGTATGTATTAGTTTACAAACATCCATTACAGACCACTTCACTTTCATAACCATAATAGCGCTAGTATTAGTTATGTTTGATTGTTTTGAAGACACTTATCTCTTTAATACTTGCAGTCCATTTAAGGTAGAACGCGACACTTTGCAAGCCTTCGAATAGCGTCTTGAAAATTTAAAAAGTTGACCATATTCCTGATTAGATTCCGTAGATTTTATTCTAATGTTACCACCACTTTTTGTACACACGACGTCAAAGTTGACCATCACAGCCCGTTTTTGGACATTTGCATCGTTGCGTATCCTTGGCAACTGTTACGGGTATCACAACACCATAGGCGGACAAAATATCTTTAGTCCTACAGCATTTGACGGAAATTATTTTTTCCTTTATGCTGATATAAATTTTATCGTTTAACACAGAGAAACATTTGAAAAATGAAACAAAAATTGTCAATTTTGGGTAAAATTGACGTTCAGTTTGGCCACTTTTTTATTAATAAAGTTCTGAAATATTTTAAAATGCATGCTATGTCTAAATGACTTAACACATAGGGGATCATCGGCTCAATTGTTTCGGTACACCTGATTATAATCCCCCACCCCTGTGGATAAAAGTCACGCTATCACAGGGCGTTTGTTATTTAAAAGATCGTCCCGTGTCAAAATCCCGCTATTAACGGCATTTAATGCCATTATGACCTCTGCGGAAATATAAATGCATACAACGAAGTGTACGGAATTCCGTATATTATAGATAGACAAGTAAAAATAAGTGAAAAAAATAAAATAAAGGAGATGTACGGGACCGTATATCATGTAATACGTATATGTAATACGTATTTGACTAATATACGTGATCCATACACTCGTAATATGCGGGAACTTTGTATGAGTTCGTATTCTACTAAAATACGGATTTTTTAATGACAAGGTCAGATATAACCAAATGTTGTATTATTTCAAATACGGATTCTGTATATGAAACAGATTAATAAAGATGTACTTCAGAATTACCCACTTTTTAAAGAGGAAAGAAATAATAGTCTGATCTGACATATGTCAGAATAGCATAAAATAGTTAAGCTTTAACATATTAAACATCGACCGATACTCGACAGTGTCCGTAGCATGTACAGACAAAAAAATGACTATGTTGAAATATAAAGTATCTAGGTTTGCTATATATGTTCTGTTAAACATCCACAGACGTGTATTTACACCGTTTCATTATATTTCATGTTTAAAGTACCTTTTTAAATATTCCTGTTCAAAACAAATTCTACCATAAATTTCGCTATACAGTGAATAATTAATAATTGCAAAGGCTGATTTAGCAACGTTTTGTATATAACTATTTATAGCAAATCCTCAATAAAACATTATGTATAACAGTACATGTATAATGTTTCAAAATGATATGTAAAACTCTAGAACAATACTCCTGGTAAAATGAACATTACTGTCGCACTAAGAAATCCTAAACGTATCTGCATACGTCGAATTTCGTTACTCAATCGGTAGGGAAATATAATCACGTGCACCGAAAATGAGTCGATGACCCCCTATTCCTTTAATCATTTAGACTGAGTATACATTGTAAAAGATGTTTGAAGAAAAAGTCAAAAATCTATGTCAGGAATGTTTTAATAAACCGCTTTAGAGCCGAAGAATGCGGCTTAACTGAACGTCAAATTTTACACAAAATTGACAATTTTCTTTCCATTGTTCAAACATTTTTTCTGCGTAAAACGATTATTTTATATCATCTCTAAGAGAGAAAAAATATACGTCGAATGTTTTTGAATTTAAGATATTTTGTCCTTCTATGGCGTTGTGATACCCGTTACAGTTGCCAGGGATACGCAACGACGTCATGTTCAAAAACGTGCTATGATGGTCAACTTTGACGTCGTTTGTACAAAAATTTTGAATAAAAGCAACGGAATATAATAAGAAATATGGTCAACTTTTTGCATGCCAACTTCGAGATGCTACTTGGAAGTTAGCAATGTGTTGCGTTCTACCTTAAGGACTTATAGTATGAAATGGATTATAGTTGATAGTAATAAGGCAACCAACACCGTTTCAGAGATATTTTAAAGGTTTACCGAAAAAATGTATCATTGTGATTCTTTATTATAAAGTATTATTTGCATAGAAACAATATAAAGACAAATACATAAAAATTAATTTACATCAAGACTTTAGATTGAAATGTGACAACATTAAATAACATCTACAATCGAAATTTAATGGCAAATAATAACACTATAAGAAATGAATTAAATAACGTATTCATTCTTTCAACATGGATTTAACAGTTTTGCACAAAAAAAAACAAGAAATAAAAATGGCAACTTTATATAAAGACTGTTGTATTAAGGAACATTTTATTATGGCAAATACAATTTTGAGTGACAAAACAAAATTAATGTGTTTTTATTTATAATTAAAGCGAAATATACTTACGGATAACATGTGAAACACCAATAAGAATCATCAAAAAACTATTGAAATCCATCCTGGCGAGAAATATGTTTATCAAAAAAAGTGCATGCTTGATATATGTTGGTTAAAGTCGATCAAAATTTTAATTATCTTCCTGCCTTAAAAAGGAAACTTAAATTTTTCAATGACACACACACACACACACATGGCGGATAAGCGAAACAAGTTTTTATCACCGAAGTGCGCATGACTTATAATACATCTTATCCACACCGTATTACCGGCACCACTGATGGCAGATCACTGCAGTGATAGCAGATACCTCGGTACCGCTCGGTACAGGTAGGTTATAAATTTGGTTTGTATTATTATATTACACAAATACGGCCCATTCCATTGCTATGAAACTATTGTCCATTGACTGGAGATACTATTAGGTAATTTTTGACTCGTTTTTTTCCTGTTTTTTAGACTATTTTGATCAGGTTAAAAGTGACACCTTCGGAAAAATCCGTGAAAATGTCTGTTTTTTGTTCAAAATATCTCATGTTTTAACTAAATGGCAGGATTTCGTGTTATTAATATAGACGTTCATCCATTGGGGTCACGCAAGCCAAATATCTACCCCGTGAATATTTTCTGGAAAGTTTTACAAACGTTCAATTTGGTCCAGTCGAAGAAAATTGCTGCCGTTGTAGGCAGAAACTTATTTTAAATGCTGCCGTCGGTGGCAGAAATACCATGAAAGTGGCACACATTCTGACAGAAAATCAAGGTCAATCTTTCATCAATTCCTCTATTCTTTGCGTCCTTTTAGTCGGTATTGAGACGTTAAACTATCATTTCTAATATTTTCTCAAAATAGAAAAGTTATTATTGCGATATGTGCATCGAAAAAGCTTTTTAGCAACACGCAGTTACAATACAAAATGTGATGATTCAGTACGACCAAATTTTACTATAAATAGAGCAATTAACATGAAGAAATTCATTTTTCTATATTCATGCATGTGTGCTTGATATGTTGTGTCTGTCAGTTACATGCAAACAATACCATATGTATCTTAAGTTTAGCAGCACATTTTGTATTGACGGCAGCATTTAAAATAAGTATCTGCCTACAACGGCAGCATTTTTTCTTCGACAGGACCAGATTAAACGTCTGTAAAACTTTGAAGAAAAGACTCACGGGGTAGATATTTGGCTTGCGTGACTCCAATGGATGAACGTCTATATTAATAACACGAAATCTTGCCATCGAGTTAACACTTGAGATATTTTGAACAAAAAACAGACATTTTCACGGATTTTTCCGAAGCTGTCACCTTTAACCTGCTCAAAATAGTCTAAACACAGGAAAAACGAGTCCAAAATTACCTAATAGTAAATTTTGTCAATGGACAATAGTTTCATAGCAATTAAATGGGCCGTATTTGTGTAATATAATAATACCAACCAAATTTATAACCTACCTAAACCGAGCGGTAAATTTCAGGTATCTGCCATCACTGCAGTGATCTGCCATCACTGGCGCCGGTAATATGATGTGAAAATGCTAGAGAGTGTTATATTAAAATCAACTAAAGGTAAAACTTTTATATTCACACTTAATAAACCTAACTGAAAGATTAAAACAAAATTTGTAAAATGACTCAATTGCACATCATTTTCAAATTGAATTTTCTAGATTAAACTTAACAATCAAGGAGAAAAATTAAAAGGTAAAATTAAATTTCAATGAAAATAATGAATAAACTCCTGCGAACCTGGTTCTCTCTTACTTTTATTAGAGGCACACTATGCCTCAAAAACTATCAACATTTTATATTACTACCTTAGAAAGGGGAAACATAGGTACTACAAAATTTAAATAAGCGTACAAGAGATTGTTAGAACAAATGCAGCATTAATTGTAAAATTATTTGTCACAAACGTAACAAATGGTAAACAAAGTAGTATTTTGACATCCATAAAAAACTTATTTGTTATAACTGTACTAAATGACAAAAACATTAGAATGAAAAAGATGGCTCCTGTAATGTGCTAATGGTATCATTTTTGAAAGTATTTCTTTATCAAAAGTACACTGAACATGAAAAGAAACTATTGAGAAATTGAAATAAAAGTATTTCTGGGGCATAATTAGCCTTTAAGTATAAACAAAGACTTAACCTGTGGGAATTTCAACGTTACAAAGCTTTACTCCCTGTTCATCCCGTCCTGAAGCAACAATTTAATTAAATATAATTATAAACATGTTTTGATGAGTCAGTGTTAAATCCCAATTTTGTTTGAATTACGATAAGTAATAAAATGTTGATAGTTTTCTTAGTTCCTTTGCTGGGCCCGGTATATACAATATGTTTAACTCTTCTTTATTTGTAAATATTATTTCATATTGTCAACAAGTTGCACTTGCGCTTTTAAATCATTAACACTTTGGGTATTGTTACATTATACCCGAGTTTAAGAGGGCCGTTTATGAAGATAACACATTGACCTTACATGAAGAGACTATATTCATAGTGTCTATTTAAGCTTGTCCTTTTTGCGTTCTTACGCATAATTTGATTAAATATATTTTCATATTTCAGTCAACACTTAAACCTTGAAATGATAAACACAGACATTGATTTCATACTATAAAACTTTACAGGTAGAAAATACGAACACGTATAGTTACAGCTATTTGTGTTTTAAACTTCCATGGGAGATAAAAAGATATTGCCAGTATATGGTAATGTTGAAATCATCTTGTACAGTATCAACGCTATATCAAAAATCAAAATAATTATTTGGACTTAGTTGGAAATGATTTGTTAAAAGAGGTGATTTATTTACGTTTGCAAAGGTAAGATATTCCTTTAAAATTTTGGTAGTGTAATTCTAAAGCTGTATGCTATAATCATATTACTACAGATCAGAGCGGTAACCTATTTCTTGTTCTTCGGCGCGGTTATCTTTTATTATTTCAACCGCTTTGCTAGCTATCATTGCGTATTTAAAAACGGATTCAATAGTGACAGGCCACTTCGGCTCAATTTGGCGGTGTGGACAAGTGGTTCAGACAAGTAACATAAAGATTGCTCGACAGAAGGGTTAAATCCCTACAGTGGCAAACAATGGTTTTCATGACCAAGAAATTTTACATCCATTTCGGAGCAATCCTTGTTTCAACAAACGGATTCGAGATTGTCTTAAAACTTGAAGTTTAAAAACAAATAAATTCGTATTGTCCAACAACATTGACCTGGCACTCTTGCATTTGACCCTGTAGTCGGTACATTCCGTAAACGTTACAATCTACTTGTAAATCGATATGAATCTAGATAAGCAGGTTTTAAATGGTCTAAATTAAAAAGGAAGTGGCTAGCCGTACGGGCCCGTACGGCTAGTCAAAAGTTCTAGCCGTACGTGAGTCACGTACGACTAGCCTGGACACACTGTAATTGCTAGCCGTACGGCACTTTTCAAAATTAGATGGAAGTCGAAAATGCATATGCTATTTTGTGTCTTTAAACAACGATTTTAATCAAATCTCCGCATTTGTCCTAGTGAGTTCACTTTAATATTTAAAGATGTTCGCAATTTTGCAAAAAAATTAATAAATACGAGTAAGCATTGTATAATCTATCTTAATAAAATTAAGTGTCAAAGTTGCATGTTATAATTAACGTCCTTAATTTTCATGCTTATGATTTTTATGAAAGATGAATTGTTAAATCTGTTAATTAAGCACATGGATCGAATAAATTATGATCGGAGGGGAATAAATAAACAAATAAAAAGATTATTAAAAAAAACGGTGAAAAGGAGAAATAGTTTAATAATGCAAACTTTCCTTAATGATGGACAAACATCTATACCGTCGGTAATTGACGCAATTATCAGAGCCCAACAACAATTATTTTCGGTGTTTTTTTTTGTTTTGTTTTTTTAATTTAAAAATTGAACTTAATGAAACAAAAAAGGATTATTACCAAAATTTTGTAAACTAATTCAATTGATGTTATTTAACTGCAACCAAACGCTATTTTTTCTCGTCGCCTTCAGATGACAAAGTACATTCTTTACTGTAGCCAACACGTCGATTAATCTCTAAAAAGTAAACATTCTTGACTAAAATCCTCGCTTAAAGTCATAATTAACATATGCACTTTCGCCTTCCATATATTTTTGAAAAGTGCCGTACGGCTAGCCAATACAGTGTGTCCTGGCTAGTCGTACGTGACTCACGTACGGCTAGAACTTTTGGCTAGCCGTACGGGCCCGTACGGCTAGCCATTTCCAATTAAAAAATCCCTCTTAGCCTTCACTTCAAAAATATATAGAAGTAATCCCGTAGGTTCGAATCATGGTTCTATTTCTTCAATGTCTTTTATTTTATTTTTTTGTGTTAATTCTATTTTTGTTATATTTTTAATTTGTATTATAATAAAAGATGATGTAATGAAAAAGAAAATATAACTGTGTAAAAAAACTTCTTAAAAGGTTTCCTAAAACCAAATGTAGTAAAACGATTTCAAATTGATCCATGCAAGTAAATTCCAAAATAAAATTTAAAAAATGTGCATTTTCATAACGTGATGTTGGTTAAGTATCGAACCAGAGACCTTCAGATCAGAAGTCCGGCATCTATACCAATACACCACAACTCATTGACGTGTGAAGCTAACAAATACATTCGTTAGATAACAGTGTTTATCCAGTGACCTTTACGAAAATTACTGAGGTGCCAGGTCAATATTGTTGAACAATACAGAGGACACACAAACAAAAATAACAGTTTACAAATAAATAGTTAAAAACATTAAACGGTAGATAATTTCTCGTTGCTAGTACTGCACATTTCGAAAATATTAAACGGTTAAATATCATGAAGTTCTTATTCAACCTTTATTACCCAGTTGTCGTGTACTCATAGTATATCAATCTTTGTCAGATATTGTGTTCCACGGTTTTATATGATATCAGTTTAAATAGTATTCAAGTTTGGCACACTTCAAAATTATCTTTTATGAAATAAAAAGAATATCAATAACTTGTTTAGGAATACATTTAGCAAAATAAGTGAATAAATAGATCAATAGATAAATAAATAAATGACTACCTAAAAGTAAGTAGCATGTATTTTTCATGGATGTCCCTTGCAAATGTCTGACACAGTTTTAATTCAAGTACATTAAACGTGACAGTGAAAGTAAGGACTTATTATTAAAAAGTGACCTTACCGCTTTCAATTGGGTAAATCAATGTCAAAGACAGAACATTGCTTTCACTATCACTTAGATATAAACTGAGTTTATTTGTTCTTTTACCTATTTTCCTTTCGTATTTTGAATTGTAATGTATAGGATGTCACTCTGGAATAATTAAAATGTCTAACAAGATACATGGACAATTAAAGTATTGAAGAAACATACAACACAGGGCACATGGACAATTCAAGTATTGAAGAAACATACAACACAAGATACATGGACAATTCAAGTATTGAAGAAACATACAACACAAGATGCATGGACAATTCAAGTATTGAAGAAACATACAACACAAGATGCATGGACAATTCAAGTATTGAAGAAACATACAACACAAGATGCATGGACAATTCAAGTATTGAAGAAACATACAACACAAGATGCATGGACAATTCAAGTATTGAAGAAACATACAACACAAGATGCATGGACAATTCAAGTATTGAAGAAACATACAACACAAGATGCATGGACAATTCAAGTATTGAAGAAACATACAACACAAGATGCATGAACAATTCAAGTATTGAAGAAACATACAACACAGGGCACATGGACAATTCAAGTATTGAAGAAACATACAACACAGGGCACATGGACAATTCAAGTATTGAAGAAACATACAACACAAGATGCATGGACAATTCAAGTATTGAAGAAACATACAACACAAGATGCATGGACAATTCAAGTATTGAAGAAACATACAACACAAGATGCATGGACAATTCAAGTATTGAAGAAACATACAACACAAGATGCATGGACAATTCAAGTATTGAATAAACATACAACGCATGATACATGGGCAATTCAAGTATTGAATAAAACATACAACACAAGTGTCGTATTGTTTTATCGAAAAGAAGCAAGCCCGTTTATCTCAATGGTTATAAATCTTTAGCTATATAGTTCACTAGTCGTAAATGCATGTAATTTATAAGGATCATCGAAAATGAAAAATTTTCCACTTACCATTTGCTTTATAGCTTATGCCTATGTTTTTATGAAAATTTACTTAACAAGTTTGCAACCAATGATTACAGTTATCAGATATCCTCTATAACTTATTACTTATTTTATGAAGCAATTGAAACAGAAATAACGTATTTTTAAAATTAACTTCTAATTGTACAATTTAACATATCCAACTACATACTGAAAACCTTAAAAAGCAGAGAAAGAACACAAAGTCTATCTCATTTAAAACATAATATTATTTTCATATTGGACGTTTGAGTACATGTGCACTGAACGACCGTGCATATATTTTGACGTGACGTCATTTGCTATATATAAACATAGCGTTCAGACGCGCTAAATGTTAGCGTTATACTAATATCAATAAATAATAGAGATAAGGGGGGTCAATGTGATATTTTTCGGATTTACTGTTATATAATTTTGATGATTATTAAACCGATATTAATGATAAATGTAAGCTGTTACAATGTATAATTTGTTTAGGCAATTTTAACTGTCATTATCTTGAACTCACAGTAAACGATAAATCAATAAATACTGTAACGTCTAAAAAGTATTCGTTGTATCAGTCAAATCCTAAACTTATGGATGTATACAACAAAACCATTCATGAATTATTACCTTTTCTTCTTAAATTTTTTTGACAGGGTTTGCAGACTCACAGGGATATTATTGATGATGTGGTAGTGGTTGTGGTGTTGGTGGTTATATTGATGGTGTTGTTGATAGTGCTAGTGGTTTTGTTGATGATAATAGTGGTTGTATGGATGATGATATTGGTCGTGGTTTTGTTGGGGGTGATGATGATGATGACATAAACGAAAGATATATAAGAAAAGAGTTATTATACATTTTACTGTACAATACGGAATATATTTGGACTCGCCTATCGGTTCGTCACATATGACTTTTCAAGCTGTGTACTCGTTTAAATATATTCCCGTATTGTACAGTAAAATGTATAATAACCTACAAATATATATGAAACTTGTACAACATCATACATGTAAATTTAGGTGATAAGCTCTGGTATTATTTTTGCTATTTGAACAACTATTCAACAAATCAGACTCGGAAATAATAAAGTGTTTACTAGAAAACTTATTGTTATATAAATTCAGTGTTAGATTTGTTTGTGGGAGGAAATATTGTTAAACAATACTTAAATATATGAGCATTATAACTAGAAAGTTAGAGAACTATCCTGTGAATTTTGTTTTAGAACTATCCTTTACATTTATTTAAAAAGAAACGGCAAGAACTCTCTTTTTCATTTTGGTTAAGAACTATCTTAGAATGATGAGAACCATCCATTACATTTTTGTTACAGTATGGGTTCTCATATATCTATTAATTATTCTGTAGGTTAAGCTTATGAGTTTGTCGACTGAGGATTAAGGGTCATAAGCTGGACTAACGACGGTCATAATATTGGAATATAATATTGATATATATTTATATATATATAAAACAATTATTACAAGGTAGTCTCATCGATATTGTACTCTTCGATACAGTCAAATATTCATAATAATAAAAGTGCACAGTTAGAAAGATATATAAATACAATGTTACCTGAAACGACATTCTACACACTAAGTTACGGCCTACAGCTACACAGTCTTATAACAGCTACCAAGATGCTAAATATATAGTTTAATAATATATTTGACGGAAATCAAATACAAGTCAAAATACTGTTTCAGGGTTTTATTTACATTATATTTAACAATTTTAGTACCTGTAACATTACAATGGCCATGAAATTCACATATTTCATTTTGTTATTTTAAAATGACTATTGAAAACTCTCATTCAGTTCTTCCATGTAAATTTTACATGAAGTAAAACTGATTTTAGACCGGAAAAATCGCGAAGTTTTATAATATTTTTAGCGTTACTTTTTTAAAATGTTAGAGCTATTACAACTTTCACTTTCTTCCGTATGATGTGTATGAAAATGTTCTTGAATGTTTTAACTGTCTAAGTAAAAATTAACTTTTGATACAATGCAGCTAAGTATTTATTTATTTTGTATTTGGTTTTATTTTAGGTCTATTTGGCAAGATAGCAATGCTGAAAGACATACCGAATATCATTCTGCTCTCCGGAGTTTTCATCTCTGTTTCAGGTTAATGTTTTTTATTCTTTTTATTTTTGCCATGATAGTAAGTTTTCGATTTTTTTTTCTTGGAGAAATATGGACACTATGTGTCCTTCGATTAAAAATGTTCAATGTAACATGATTGTATATTTTAATATTTTAATGTTATTTTCAATTGTTAAAATGTCATTATGTGTATTTCGTTCCAGTTGCAAATGTTCAATTAACAACATCGAGTATAGTAAATGGAAGCACAATAACTATTTGCAATTCCACAGTTACATATACATGTCTGATAAAGTCATTCACGTTGATGTTTTTCCTGATAGATGATATCAGAGTTGCAACATGTGCTGGACTATTTTGTACACAATTTCAAGCAATGCCTTCGAATGCCGACTTTATTTACAACACAACAGCTGGGATATTCAATTTAACATTTTATGATATCAAGCGAAAAGACACTTGGAATGTTATAAAATGCAGTAATGGAACATCTACAAACGACAAAGAGATAACACAGAATATTAAAGGTAATTGCATTACAATGAAAAAATATAGAGGATATTTGCTTGTTTGTGTGTAACATGACATTTTATTTCATCGAGTTAGCTTTAAAAACAATATTATCACGAGGGGCTTAGCCACGAGTGAGAATACTTTTTTTAAAGTTCACGAGATGAAAAAAAATCATCTAACACAACAAACAAACAAAATTTCTTTTTATTTTATGCTTATAAAACGTTTAAATGAAATTTCCTTAATATTGACTTTAATAATAAAATCTGTTTTCCCCACTGGTTACCTCATTTTAGTCAAATTTCTTATAAATTACAAGAAGAAGAGCTGAAAAATAAGTTCGACAATCCACGTTAAATTTGCGATGATATTATGTATTGTATTAAAAAAATATGAATGGTCGCTTGTTTTATTAATTAAAGCAAACAATTCTAGTAGAAAAAAGTCACAACACCCGATCTTTTGCCGTTACGTACGGCGAATTATATTATACCAAGCTTTGTGTAATATAAGCGGCCGCCATTTTTTAAAGTTATATATTTCCCAGGAGGACTATAATTGTGTTTGATTCAGAGGCATATCATTTGGATTTGTTAGTCATACATCTTTTTATAAGAAAACAAACTAATTTGAGGATTGTTACAGACAACAAATAAGTGTTGACAGATGTGTAAGCATTCAAAAAAGCCGCTAGGAAATTGGAAAACTGTTGTTGAAAACTGCCTTACGAACTAATTCTTTGGGCTGATGGCTGTCATTGCTTTTCAAGTTTTTATATTGCATTAAGCAGTTATTGCTCGTAGGATACCTAAATATGCTCGAATGTCATCAAAAGCAGTTATGGATATGGGAGGAAATATATTTTATAGACTGTAAAATGAAACAAATAATTTAGAGACGATATTTGGTGATTGGTAATTTGAATGGTTTGAAGTAAGTTTTTTTCATTCTATTACTTTTAAAAATAAAGTTTTGTATCAATCCCAGCTTTGCTTTTCTCTAAACAGCCCTAACAATGTCAGAATTGTCAGAAATATTAAATTGAGGTACCACGTGGGGAAAATCTTTACAAAAGTAATCTCTTCATTGAAAAGAGTGAAATTATATTTTGATAATTTTCACTGTGAAATTATCAAATATAATTTACACGGATAAGTCAATAATCCACTGAAAAGCATTAAATAAAATTACATAATAATTATAATAGATTTAAATAGAAATAAAATTTATGTTAGCAACGTTTCTGTAAGATTGTTTCGGGACTGGAAAAATGTCCAAAAATCTTTGTTTATATTAAGGAAAACACGCAAGAATGTAATATTAATTTACAAAGGTATATATCAATGAGTTAACCAATTGTTGTGACTACTTTTTTTAGTCATGCTTTTATTATAAATTTCAATTACATGTTTAGTTTTGGGCCGTTCAAATATAGCTAAGCACGTAAAAGATCTTATTTTTCCTATTATTATCTCATGATCTAACCGAAGACAATACGAAGCTCTATACCGGTGATCATTACGTTGTTTTCACATCTTTATAAGATTTATAAGAATTAAACATTAATGTAGTGAAGAGAGAAATGTTGATATAACATTCAAAACAAAATACTTTCTTTTCTCAGTTTATGTTTTTCTTTAACCTTAATTACTAATGCATGCACGTATATTGCCGTGAAGGATAAGTATTTTGTAGACAATCACCGGCATTTCATAGGCATTCTCTATTGTGTATTAAATAATAAAAGAGAACGACACTAAGTATTCAGTTTAGAATTACTATATTGCCAACAATATTAATATGATAAAGCCACTTGATTTTATTAGATGACAGTGTATTTGATCGCTCTGGATAAATAACCAATTAAATGGATAAATAACGCATTCCAATTGAAAATATTAATCGATATTCAACAAAGAGTTCATGTAAAACAAAAAAGAAAACAAACGAGGAAGTATTGGCGCTCTCGATATTTAATCAATGACGAAACAGTGTTATGTGTCATAAAGGGAATTTTTTAAAGTAAGATAATTATATAGAAATATGATTCTTAAACGCTTCGCCGCTTTCTTTCACTCGTATTTATGTGCGTGAAGTTTTAATGGGAAATCACTTTAAATTCACAAGTCACAGTTCAGATCTGGGCATCTTGTCAAGCCGTTTACCAGCAGAAAATGCCTTCACCTCCGCAATTAACTGCAAGAGCAGATTTACAGTGCAAATGGCCGTAGAGAGAACTTAATTATCAGTCATAACGAAAATGGCATGAAACATCCGCGAATCGAACCTGGGTCGCCTGATTAACAGTTAAAATTTTGAACAATTGAGCTAACTTAAATTCAACTTGCAAATACGGACGCTTAAGTACTTTTTTCCATAGCGAATATTAGGTTTTATTGATATACTCGTGCTGGGATTGTCCAATAGACTATCTTTCTTTTATATTAAGGTATCCCACACCCAAATTGTACGTGGTTGTCAGATTTAAAAGCACTTTAAAATTAGAAATTCCTTTTTACATCACTTTTAAAACGGATGCTAAGTGTTGACTTGTCAACCCGAAAAGAGGTATATTACCGTGAGGCGCTGACAAATGTTTATTAAATGAAAGTTACTTATTTCGGTAATCTGCAGAAAATATATACATGTAAATGTTATAACACAGTAATTCATCCATTATGATGTTGATTTTTTTCAGATTATACAGTTTCGTTTAAAGAAGTATCCGGTCCGACAGGATATGAAATCAAAATTGTTACTGGATGCATAAGTAACACAACCAAACTTTCATTTGTCTGGAATATGATCCCAGTGAATTATTATTTTTATTTAGTTCTTGATTATGATCTGTCTATCGTTTGTCTGTTTTACAACAATCACCTATCTGAACCTTAGCTGTACATCTAATCAGCTTTTCTTGATAACTGACTCGTAATAGCCAAATATATAACCAGAAACAATTCTGTTAACAAGGTAGTAATGTAGAGTAACATGTCAAGAACAGTGATATGGGTTTAAGGTATTTGATATATCGTATTGCATAGTAAACTTTATAATATTCGTTGCAAGCACATACAATATATGTTTTCCATAAATATTTATTTTTCTTCTAAAGAAATTCATTTTTTTATGTACGGTGAAGCATTTGTTTGATGCTTTATTCATGTAATGTCGCTGTATATGTGGTTTGTAACATTGCAAGAATCTTTTTATATACTAGGAAAAGTCTAGCGATGTTAAGGTGTACACGGGCAAAACTAAAACGATGTCATTAGACACTATTTCATGCTTACATAATCCTGATTGTGGAAGTAGTGAATCAGTTAAACGTGGAAACATATTGTCAATTACGAAAACAGAAGGAGGATCGAATTACTATATACAGTCCATAGTAGTATTTCAAGAGGCTAACATTTCGTATTCTGTGAAGACTAATTTCCAAAGAATGTATGTTATTTCTGGTAAGTGCTATAACAATATGTTTATACCTAACGTACAGTATATAATCAGTATACAATTTTATATCAATCAAACATTAATTTTAATGTTTTAATCGGCCTAAGACGTGGCGTAATCTGGATTTTTGTAAAACATATTAATTGCAATTTCCTTTCGTAATTCTTCGAGCAGCATATTACTTTTTTTGTCTGTTATAGAAAAACATCATTGTTTTATATATAAAACTTGCAAAACGCATTAGTATGGTACTTTAGTGATGAACAGTAAGTATGTGAGGTCTTGGACTAGCTTTTTTTAGACGTTGCAAATAAACAGAATGTCATATATTTTTGTTCTAAATATGGTTTTCCCCTTCCAGTTTATGATTTCGTGAACGCGCCGTTCGCTTTTAAGACGGTTAACTACCATAATTTATGTATCTAAAACAAGCATTTTTAAATATAAATTTTTAGAATTCTAAAATATATTTTTTGCAGCAGATATATAGCGTTTACATTGTTATGAAGCATACCTCAAACTAAGCGTCAAAACATTGTTACATATAATTTTATTCATATTAGAATGTGTAACAATTTTTAATATTAACGAATCACTGATTAATGATATTTTTATTTTTTATTTTTTTTTTCCTGTTAGTATAATTACTTTTTTTGCTTTTTTTGTAAGAAAACTAAACTTCCTTATTTATTTAAAAAAACAACATACTTTGTCATTTGCATATGCATCTATTTATAATAGTATTAGTCATATCTCATTTATACTTTTAATTTCCGAATACATTTTAGATGAGGAACAAACAAACAGTACAACTGCCATAATTCTGATTGCATGCGGATGTACAGTGGGTTTAATTGCAGTAACTGTTGCAAGTATCATTCATTGTAAGTTCTCTTCACATAAATTTAGTACAATTGAATTATACCTTTTAAAAATGTCTGTCTGTCTGTCTGTCTGTCTGTATGTGTGTGTGTATGTATGTATGTATGTATGTATGTATGTATGTTGTATGTATGTATGTATGTATGTATGTATGTATGTATGTATGTATGTATGTATGTATGTATGTAAGGCATACTCAAGACGAAAACATGCAGCACATATGCAAATTCCTATAATAATTAACTTTTTATGTTTCAGGCAGAAGGAGACATGGAAAAAACAAAAGAGGTACAATTATTATTATTATTACGTTTATACGGGCAGATTTTCTTTTCTAAAAAAAGTCAATAGGGAAAGTAGCTTCTCATACATAGTTTGTTTATTCTTTAATTCAAGTGATACATTTTAAGTTAGAATTTCATATATTTTAGTAAATTTCTTTTTGTCAAAATATCCGGAGGATGACCAAAGAATATCTTTAAAAAATTCTCTTTTGTTCTTAACCCGTCTGCATTATTCAAGAGAAAGAAATAAAGGTGTCAAGAACGCCTGCTTATTAATATATTTTAAAGAATATTACTTAAGTTTACACAATCTGTTGAATAAAAGTGATTTTTTATAACTTTAATTAGGACACTCATGTAAATTATATTTATAACATTAATATCTAAGCTACAGATATATCAAAACATTTTCATTTTTATTTTATAAATGAAATTGAGAAGAAACATGCTTTGAATTGTTTAAGTTTACATGTGATGTGAGGATTATATACATGTATATATTCATAGGCTAAGTATATTCAATAAATCAAATGTATAGTAACAAGTAAGTTGTACTTTTAGTAAATCAAACATTTTGGTAAATCAACCATTTTAGTAAATCAATCATTATTTACTCATATATATTCGTACATTACTTGTTGCATAAGCTTATATTAAACGACCGACGTGAAACATTCTGCACTCAAAGTAAAGAATGGCATGATAGTTTTATGTAGGAAGCTTATTACTATGCATAATAATAAATGCAATAATTATTTTGGTCTTCTTTTTAAAAATTGTTTACATTATCAAACATACTAACCAAACTGCAATTTCTTTTCATCACGTTGACATAAAATTAAGTGAATCTTATCCAAATACAATAGTAGTTTAACGCTCAAATGTGTCGTCATTAGATTATTTTTTCAAATATTTCGTTAAATGCAAAACACAACTGCTTTCACAAGAATTTTTACGGCATCTTTCGTCATCTACATATGCCCTGCTTAAACATAGAATGGTTTGCGAGTAATTAATCTTATATTTGAAGTTAAGCTGGAATCCAGGAAATAAAATAAAATTCAAAGGCTGATACTCTTAGTCTAACGTAGATCTTATTTTTATTCATTCCATTTACATCCAAAGAATTCTATATCTTGAATGCTTTCAAAACATACATTACATAACAAGTAAAGGCAACACAATGAAGAAAACAAACAGCCTCCTACATGTACGAACAATGTTTCTAGAAAAACACAACACAAAATCTTGCAAACACTGTTTGAAAATGAACTCTTTAAATGACAAAATGAGCAACGTTAATTTTGAGTAAATAACTGTTATTCTAGTCACTTCAAAGATCCTGTAACACAATTGTATAGTTTAAGATCATAAATATGATGCTCAAATTAGGATGTATAAAAATTGTAGGTTCCGAAAAGCATTATGTATAAAGATATTACCGAAATGAATATTCCATGAAAATATGGGGATGTAATAAAAAATTATTTTATATAGAGTTTAAGTCAAATTTAACAATAAGAAATGAATGCATATATTTTAATGATAACATATAATATGCACAAATATTTGCAGTATATATTCTTCGATGTTTGCAAATTGTTTTATTTGCGTAATTATGTACATAAATATAATTTCACTGAGTGTGGTTTACCACTTTGATCACAGCATACAGGATTACTAAGCGTATATGTATTTTACTGTTGTCGGAGATAGAAGGCATAAATTAACACTCTCTTTTTTGTAGAGAAGTATAAATAAAAATTCCATCTAGATCTAAGTTTCGTTTCTTCTTTAGTATTTATAATCAATCTTGGTACCGAAGTACATCCTTTTCAAAGAAATACTTAGTAGTAATAATGAAGGGCATCAGAAGAATGTGGAAAAAAGGAAATTTTAAACAATAACACAGATAATCCTTGTTACCGGTAACACAATTTCCTTGGTAACATTGGTTTATATCTTTAATATATTTTTCATTATTATACATTTTGTTTAATCTATCAAAATAGAAAAATAATGATAAAAAATACTGCCATTCTCTAAGTAAATATTTACAATTGATATTGTTTGATTTTATTAACCTGTCAAATGCATACTGGCTACACGATCAATGTACACAATATATAAATCTTGGATTACTTCGATTAATGATCGGTAACTTCGTGAGATGTACGTAGTAAGATTTGATGAAATTTAATTTGTTCCAGACCTATGAAATATTTATATTGATTGTAATAGCGAAATAAGGTAAACTATCGGTTTATAATTTCTAAATGTCCAGCGTGTTTTAAGATCGATACCGCGTATATCTTTTTTTTTCATTGATATTTTCCAACAATTTGAAGGTACGATTGTTTTTTAAGTTGTTATCTTTTTAAATATGTTTTGCACATATTTTGGCAAAGACCATACATTTTTAAATAGCATGATTTAAGAATTAAAAAAATCAATAAATATCTTTTAAATGCCATAAAATTTCAAACAAATCAGACAAATCTGTGTTTCTAAGTTGTTCCATGTTCCTTTAGACGTTTATGCAAGCCCTATTCATTAAATTATACTTTAAAAAGAATGGGTTTTAAAACAATTGCAAAAGTATGGATGAACCACAGAGCATATATAAGGTAATCACTCAACCGACTGTGTAATTGCGGATATGACCAAAACATAAACATAAACAATGAGATAGTTCAAATTTATTCTCGTAATTTATACGGACAGAACCGAAGTTGAATGGAATATTAAAAAGGTTGCTATAATGTTTTCATAATTGATAGGTCCAATAAAATCAGATCAAAATAGTGTCTTTTTTTAATGTATTTTACAATTATATCAGATGTAGAAAATTTAGAAAAAGAAAATCGGAAATAAAATGAACTGTTTTTTTTTTCATACTTTTTTTGTTTTGTTACTATTCTTGTTATGTCGAATTATTACAGACGATATTATTAAAACATAAAATTGATATAACAGTGTTTGATATATCAATATATCATATTTAGAATAAATAGTACATTGGAGATACATATCTAAACTTTAGATTCAGTATTTGCTTATCTAAACTTTAGATTCAGTATATGCTTAACATTGTTTTATTAACAAAGGGAAAATTAAATAAAATGAACGGACAAGTAGCTACGGAAGATATTTTTAAGAAACAAAACTTATTTTAGCAGCCTTACCAGGTTTGCAAATAAAAACTTCTGTTTACCATATATAAAAGTTTAAATTAAGTAGATAATAGATAATCTTTTGACTTTCTTTGATTTTCTTTTAAAACAATAAATAGCATTCACAGATGCTACAGTATTATACAATAATGTTGTATAAGATTACTGTTTGTTTTTTTCGTTCTTCCGCTGAATACATTTGGAACATAAGGTTTTGTCATTGTTTCTGCTGTAACGTTTTGATTTGATTACGTTTACATAAAGCACATTAAATGCTTGCTCAAAAAAGGGATTGTTTGTATATGAATAGATCCTGTTGAAAATAATTCTACAATTGATATCAAAGAGGTAAAAGAAGAAGTTAATAATGAGGGAATTTCATATGCAGAAAACGATAGCAATCATCAAAGGTAACAAAAACACTGCCCTTATACTTGTACACGTTTGTTTTGTTTTACAAAATATATTTAACAAAATTAATAAAAAATAACAAAATACCTGTACACGTACTTTAACTAAATATATTTAACACAAAATAAACTTTTTATATGACCTAAACTAATTTTGCGATGTACTCTACCTAAAAATATTGGAATATATGGTTGTTATCTATTTACCTAGGCTTTATAGTTTTTTCTCTTTTTTTCAAAAAGTGTACAAAATGTATCCTTATGGATTATTTTTCTACTTATTTCATTGATTTCTTCTTTCTCTTGACTTGTCCGGTTGCGATGCTGTATTGGTTTCCTCATCCCTACATAAGCACTTTCCTGGCATAACATAATGAAAATAGACATAAATAGATTTAGGATGTGGGTGGGCCTGTTTTAAAAAAAGCAGCAGAAAGTAAAAGGTGTTTAACATTTTACTCACTTTGAAATGCTCTGTTAGATGGGTCTCATTCTTTATCTCTGTAATGACGTTCACAAAAACCCTGGACCAGCCTCTCTTAACTCTTCTTCTTCTTCTTCAGGTGATACATCATATATGTCAAATTCCTCATTCCTTTTCCTTTCCGACTTGTCTCACTCATTATCATGTGTGCACTATAATGTGCAAAGTTTTCTAAAGGAAAAAGGATATCGTGGAAGGTGAACTTGATCCGTTTGATATTATCTCAATAACAGAAACCTGGCTGTCCGCCGCTGTTGATACAGATTGCTTATATTTTCATAATTATTCTCCCCCTTTTCGAAGACAGAGGTACGGACAATCATGGAGGTATTTTGGTTTATTTTAAAAACACTATCCCTGCAATTCGAAGATACGACCTAGAGATTCAAGGTGTGGAATGTATTTGGTTGGAGATTTTTCCTAAAAATAAGAAACTTCTTTATGGTACTTTCTATCGTTCTCCGAATTCTTTCCCTTCTGTGCTCTCTCATATAGAAATGTCAATCGGTCTCGCTTTTGACACAACTATATCTGATATAGTTATAACTGGAGATTTCAACTTAGACATGCAAGAAACATACATCGGCAGCAAAAATCAATAGCATTGCAACACAATACAATTTGACTCAAGTAATACAACAACCAATACATTATACTGTTTCTTCAAACTCCCTTATAGATCTATTTTAAGTCTCGATGAATTGCAGAGTTTCTGTATCTGGCGTCGCTGACCCCTTTCTTGATCAAGTCTGTAGATATCACTGCCCTATTTTCTGTATTCTTGACTCCTCTAAACCATCATCGCAAAATTTCAAAAGAAAAGTATGGCTATATGATAAAGGTGATTATGTAGGTTTGAGAAGGGAGATGTTTTCTTTCCAATGGGATACAATTCATAATGATGACATAGACATCTATACACAGCAATTAACAGACACAATCAATCTCATTTCAGCTAAATATATACCTAACAAAATAGTCACAATCCGCCAATCATCACCACAATGGATGCATAATAAATTCAGGAAACAAATCAGAAAACGTAATTGCGCATATGATAAAGCACAAAAAACACAAACTCCACATCACTGGCAACTTTACAGGCAGATAATAAATAAAACAACCACGTTACTCAGACAAGCAAAGCAGCAACAAACTTAAAAATGAAAATTTATCACCTTCAGATTTCTGGAAAATTCTAAAACATATATCAACTTCGACAAGAAACAAGGGTATACAAATATTAGAAGATAATGGAAACATTTTAACCTCCGAATATGATAAAGCCAACCTTCTTAACAAATTTTTTCATTCACAGATATTACTAAATGATTCCACTAAAATAATCCCAAACATGCATTTACATTCAAATAAACCACAGTTGGAAAAAATAGTTATCACACAGCAGGAAGTAATAGATACATTAAAGTCATTAACATTAGGAAAGGCAGCAGGTCCCGACATGATCAACAACAGAATACTTAAAGAACTATCTCAACAATTGGCACAACCACCTTCTCATCTTTTTAATAAATCAATAGAAACTGGTAAGGTCCCATCTCAATGGAAACTGGCAAAAGTCTGTGCTATTTTTAAGAAGAACGATCCCACTATTGCCTCTAATTATAGGCCGATCTCTTTACTAAGTACAATCAGCAAAGTGCTAGAACGTATAATTCACAAACACGTCTTTAATTTCTTCATATCTAATAACTGCATAACACCTTAAGTTTGCAATCTGGATTAATAAAGAACGATTCAACAACCAATCAACTAGTTTCTAACTATCACACATTTTGTCAAGCTCTAGACGAAGGAAAAATAGTCCGTGCTATCTTTTGCGATATTTCCAAAGCATTTGACCGCGTCTGGCACCGTGGTCTCATTCATAAACTTAAAGTAAATGGCTTATCTGGTGTTCTTCTTAGCTGGTTTCAGGATTATCTTTCTGGACGCTGTCAGCGTGTTGTACTTTCCGGTACGTATTCCGAAGTCCTACCAATATGTTCCGGTGTTCCACAGGGTTCTATTCTTTGTCCTCTACTGTTTTTGTATATATTAATGACATTGTTGAGGATATAAATTCAACCATTCGACTCTTTGCTGATGATACTAGTCTCTACATTATTGTCGATGAGCCACACGCATCTGCGTATATCTTAAATTCTGACCTGTGTAAAGTTTCGAAATGGGCTAATGACTGGCTTGTCGATTTAATCCCAGCAAAAACTGAGTCTCTTATTATTCTTGTAAGGTAAACAAACCGTTTCATCCACCACTATAAATGAACAATGTCCCAATCGAAGAAGTAAAATGTCATAAGCATTTGGGTGTAACCTTTTCAAGTGACGAATCTTGGCATGAGCATGTGGAAAATATAAAAACGAAATCTTGGCAGAGAATAAGTATCATGAGAGGTCTCAAATTTGTGCTTGATCGAAAATCCTTGGAGATCATTTACACTGCCTTTATAAGACCCTTACTTGAATATTCGGATGTTGCCTGGGACAATTGGTCCTTATCACGACGAACAAGAACTCGAAAAAATCTAACTTGAAGCTCTTCGTATTATCTCTGGTTGTATTAAACTGTGTCTATCCAAAATCTGTATGAAGAAACCTGCTTCCAACCTCTTAAGGAACGACGAAAGAAGCACATATTAACTCTTTTTCTATAAAATGTCAAATAACCTATCACCCTCTTTTCTTACAACATTTGTTCCAAACCATGTCGGAAGTACCACAAGCCTACAACCTAAGAAATGCAGACAACCTAAGAAACTTTCAATGTAATACTTGCCTATTTTCTTCTTCATTTGTTCCTCAAACAGTTACTGATTGCAACCTTTTATCTCTTGAAGAGCGAAATGCCACCCGACTCTTAACAATTGTAAATCCAAACTTCACAAGGATATAAGGAAGGTTCCAGTTCATTTTTTACTATGGAGATAGAAAATTGCAAATCCACCACACACGCCTTAGAATTCACTGCAGTTCACTAAACGAGCACCTATTCTCAAAAAACATCATAAATAGTCCCATAGTCACTACTTTCTTCAATGTTTACTAGTTGAAACACAAAGAACACAGCTAATTGACCATATCAATGCACTTGAAAATTGCAACCCTTACACTTTCTCTTGTCTTATATGGTGATAGGACAACCCACACAAATTACCCAAAATTTGTCTTTGAATATGTTCACTATTATATACAACAGACAAAGAGATTCTCATAAAGAGGCCAGCACAATCCGTAAGCAACCTTAAGCTCTCTCTCTCTCTCTCTCTCTCTCTCTCTCTCTCTCTCTCTCTCTCTCTCTAACTAATTCTATACCGATTTTATTGTTCCCCCTTTTTTCTTTTTTTTTTTTTTTGCTTAATTTTCTTTTAATGTATATAAATGTTTTTAAGTTAATGTTTATCTTAATTTCTTTAGTTTCATTTTGATAATTTTTGTACTTGGATTATTATTGAACTCTTAGAATTACAAGCATACAATATTTTGTTTATATATGAATGTTATCATTAATAACTACTGTTTCATTTCAAGGAGAGAGTTTCTAAAAAAGCTTCTAGCTTTTTATTAAATATTTTTTGCATTTTATTGTAATATATTGTGTGTATATATATAAAACTCAAATGCAACCTGTTAAATATAAAACATTTACTGCATATATGCTTATTTTAAATTTGAGAACGAATACAAGAATGTCAGATATATTATTTTATGAAGAAGTATATTTGAGTCAAGTTCATTCAAATTACATTTAACTTTCTGGCTATTATTTAAGAAACAAGAAAATTCCAATAAAGGAGGGAATTGATAAACAACTTGTTATGAATGATGTTTCATTGAGAACGAAACAAGATACACAAGGCTCACCAGGTAAGTAAATGAATAATTTTATCAAATCGCCATATATACTTAGTGTTAAAATTTCATAGATGTTTGTTGTTATACTTTCTTTAAAGATTTTGGAATAGGATACACAATTGTTATTCTTTGAACCATTTATGTTGAATAAAAGTTTTTTTCTTTATTCCGCTGAATAAATTTGGAACATTAGGCTATATTTTCGTTTTTGCTTTAACGTATTTGTTTGTTTACATTGACATGAAGCACATAAGAATCTTAGTAAAAGGGGGATCTTTTTTCTAATTAAATTTAGATTTTTGTTTAAAAAGGGAACACTAACAATAATATTGGAAAGGAATCAGAAGGTAAAAACGAGGAAGTTCCAAATGCAAGATACTGATAGACCTAGTCAAAGGTAAAAGTAGATTCACATCATCGTTTTTTTGCCAAAAATTCCTTTTTACATAGATGTTTATCTTGGATAATTAATTTATAAAATTACTAAAATAAAGAAACAAAAATGAAACCTGGTTTAAAATAAAATACTTAAACTGTAGATATTAAGTGAAGAGATATTTAAAATTGATACTTACATGTCGTTTACATAACATATTTAATATGAAAATAGTACACATGAAATAAAATTCAATAAATAGTGTTTACCTTTCTGACTATCATTTAAGCAAACAAGGAAAATCCAATAAAGAAAGGTAAATGATAAACAACCAACTATGTCAGCTGCTTCTTTGGGAATTAAACCAGATACACTAGACTCACCAGGTAGATAAATGCACTTTTATCGATACGCTAAATACTTAGTGTTAAAATCTCATAGTTGCTTGTTGGTATACTTTCTTTAAATGTTTTGAAAATAGGATACACAAATGTTATTCTTTCAACCAGTTACATCTTTGTTGAATTACAGTTTTCTACTTTATTCTGCGTAATAAATTGGGAACATCAGCATTATCGTTGTTTTTTGCTGCTTTTGATTGGATTACTTTTACATAAAGGACATAAAATTCTTATTTTGAAAGGAAAACATTTTTTTATATGAATAGATCTTGTTGAGAACAACTCTAAAAAATGAAAAAGAAAAAGTAGAAGAAGAAGGTAAAGACGAGAGAATTACAAATGAAGATACCGAAAACAATCGTCAAAGGTAACGCTGTTTCATAACATCATTTTAAATGCATGTGTTTATTTTTTCATTAATGTATGTCTTGGTATTTATTTAATTATGAAAATAAAGAACTTAAATGCAACCTGGTTAAAATTAAACATTGACTGCAGATATGACTATTTTAAATTTAAGATTTAATAGTACAATACCAGATATATTATATTTATGAAGAAGTACATTTGATTTAAATTTTATAATATTACATTTAACTTTCTGGCTATTATTCAAGCAACAAAGAAAATATAATAACGGAGGGAATTAATAAACAACTTGCTATGTCAGATGCTCCTTTTGGAACTAAACCAGATATACAAGGCTCGCCAGGTAAGTAAATAAATATTTTATCAATACGCCAAATACTTAAGTGTTAAAATTCATAGATATTTGATTTATACAGAATTTTATCGTTCGATTGTGTTGGAAGCTTTAAGCTTATAGACACACTTTCAAATCCGTTCGTGGAACTTAACAGTACTGAGCAATGAGTATTAAGTTTCTTGCTCAAGGAAACAACAACTTGACCCTAACGGGGTTTGAAATCACGCGGCTAGCAATCATTAGATTACTAGTCCGACGCGTTAACCACTCGGCCATGCCTCCACTCAATACTTATAGATGTTTGTTGTTATACTTTCTTTAAATATTTTGAAATAGGATACACGAATTTTATTATGCTCCCCAGAAAATTTCGGGGGAGCATATAGTCGTCGGGTTGTCCGTACGTCCCGAATTCGTGTCCGGTCCATAACTTTGTAATTTGAAGTCGGATTTTAACACATGTTCACAGAAATTATCACCATATTGAGACGACATGTCGTGCGCAACATTTAGGTTGCTACCTTGAAGGTCAAGGTCACAGCATGACCTTGCAGCAAAATCGTGTCCGGTCCATAACTTTATTATTTGAAGTCGGATTTTAAAACTATTTCACAGAAAGGATCACCATATTAAGACAATGTGTCATGCACAACATTTGGGTTGTTTTTACACTTTGAACTTTGGCTGTGACATAACCCTGACACTACAAGAGGTATACCTTCATGTGTACAAAACCTATTCGGGGAGCTTCACCCGGTTCAACCGGCTCTTGTTCTTTAGACCAGTTATGTTGAATTACAGATTTCTTCTTTATTCTGCTGAATAAATTTGGAACATTAGGCTATATCATCGTTTTTGGCTGTACATAACGTTTTGAACTCTTTACCTTGACATAAAGCACATAGAAATCTTAGTAAAAAGAGTAAACTTCTTTTGTATATAAATAGATCCTGCTGAAAAGAAAACTAACAATAATATTGGAAATGTAGAAGAAGGTACAAGCGAGGGACTTCCAAGTGCAGAAACCGACAGCACTAGTCAAAGGTTAAACTGTTTCACATCATCGTTTATTGCCAAGTTTTTTTTACATAAATGTTTGTCTTGGATAATTTATCAAGTAATTAAAACTAAAGAACAAAAATGCAGGATTGTTAAGATAAACATTTTTTGCAGATTTGATGTATATTAAGAATTGATACTTCACTGTCAGATATTTCATATGTTGAAATAGTGCATTTGGTCAGCAATTAATTAAAAAATATTCTATCAGATCAGCTGTTTCGTTAACATTTTAAGCAAGAAAGAATATCCACTAAATACCAGAACTAATGATATTCTAGAAACTAAACTAGTCATCAGGTTTGTAAAATAATACAAAATTTATCCGTAACGCAAATACTTAATGTTAAAAAGTAAAAGATATTTGCTGTTTTATGTATTATACAGGTTAAATATACAATTGTTGTATACACTAAATAAATGTTGAATTACGGTTTTTCATTTTTCTGCTAAATAAATTTGGAACATCAGCTTATCATTGCCTTTGCTTTGCTGTAACGTTGTGATATAATTACATTAACCTTAAAAGCAGATTTAAAATGTAAGTAAAAAAGTTACATTCTTTCATCCACCACTATAAATGAACAATGTCCCAATCGAAGAAGTAAAATGTCATAAGCATTTGGGTGTAACCTTTTCAAGTGACGAATCTTGGCATGAGCATGTGGAAAATATAAAAACGAAATCTTGGCAGAGAATAAGTATCATGAGAGGTCTCAAATTTGTGCTTGATCGAAAATCCTTGGAGATCATTTACACTGCCTTTATAAGACCCTTACTTGAATATTCGGATGTTGCCTGGGACAATTGGTCTTATCACGACGAACAAGAACTCGAAAAAATCTAACTTGAAGCTCTTCGTATTATCTCTGGTTGTATTAAACTTGTGTCTATCCAAAATCTGTATGAAGAAACCTGCTTCCAACCTCTTAAGGAACGACGAAAGAAGCACATATTAACTCTTTTCTATAAAATGTCAAATAACCTATCACCCTCTTTTCTTACAACATTTGTTCCAAACCATGTCGGAAGTACCACAGCCTACAACCTAAGAAATGCAGACAACCTAAGAAACTTTCAATGTAATACTTGCCTATTTTCTTCTTCATTTGTTCCTCAAACAGTTACTGATTGCAACCTTTTATCTCTTGAAGAGCGAAATGCACCGACTCTTAACAATTGTAAATCCAAACTTCACAAGGATATAAGGAAGGTTCCAGTTCATTTTTACTATGGAGATAGAAAATTGCAAATCCACCACACACGCCTTAGAATTCACTGCAGTTCACTAAACGAGCACCTATTCTCAAAAAACATCATAAATAGTCCCATAGTCACTACTTTCTTAAATGTTTACTAGTTGAAACACAAAGAACACAGCTAATTGACCATATCAATGCACTTGAAAATGCAACCCTTACACTTTCTCTTGTCTTATATGGTGATAGGGACAACCCACAAATTACCAAAATTTGTCTTTGAATATGTTCACTATTATATACAACAGACAAAGAGATTCTCATAAAGAGGCCAGCACAATCCGTAAGCAACCTTAAGCTCTCTCTCTCTCTCTCTCTCTCTCTCTCTCTCTCTCTCTCTCTCTCTCTCTCTCTCTAATTCTATACCGATTTTATTGTTCCCCCTTTTTTTCTTTTTTTTTTTTTGCTTAATTTTCTTTTAATGTATATAAATGTTTTTAAGTTAATGTTTATCTTAATTTCTTTAGTTTCATTTTGATAATTTTTGTACTTGGATTATTATTGAACTCTTAGAATTACAAGCATACAATATTTTGTTTATATATGAATGTTATCATTAATAACTACTGTTTCATTTCAAGGAGAGAGTTTCTAAAAAAGCTTCTAGCTTTTTATTAAATATTTTTTGCATTTTATTGTAATATATTGTGTGTATATATATAAAACTCAAATGCAACCTGTTAAATATAAAACATTTACTGCATATATGCTTATTTTAAATTTGAGAACGAATACAAGAATGTCAGATATATTATTTTATGAAGAAGTATATTTGAGTCAAGTTCATTCAAATTACATTTAACTTTCTGGCTATTATTTAAGAAACAAGAAAATTCCAATAAAGGAGGGAATTGATAAACAACTTGTTATGAATGATGTTTCATTGAGAACGAAACAAGATACACAAGGCTCACCAGGTAAGTAAATGAATATTTTATCAAATCGCCATATACTTAGTGTTAAAATTTCATAGATGTTTGTTGTTATACTTTCTTTAAAGATTTTGGAATAGGATACACAATTGTTATTCTTTGAACCATTTATGTTGAATAAAAGTTTTTTTCTTTATTCCGCTGAATAAATTTGGAACATTAGGCTATATTTTCGTTTTTGCTTTAACGTATTTGTTTGTTTACATTGACATGAAGCACATAAGAATCTTAGTAAAAGGGGGATCTTTTTTCTATTAAAAAGATTTTGTTAAAAAGAACACTAACAATAATATTGGAAAGGAATCAGAAGGTAAAAACGAGGAAGTTCCAAATGCAGATACTGATAGACCTAGTCAAAGGTAAAAGTAGTTCACATCATCGTTTTTTTGCCAAATTCCTTTTTACATAGATGTTTATCTTGGATAATTAATTTATAAAATTACTAAAATAAAGAACAAAAATGAAACCTGGTTAAAATAAAATACTTACTGTAGATATTAAGTGAAGATATTTAAAATTGATACTTACATGTCGTTTACATAACATATTAATATGAAATAGTACACATGAAATAAAATTCAATAAATAGTGTTTACCTTTCTGACTATCATTTAAGCAACAAGGAAAATCCAATAAAGAAGGTAAATGATAAACAACCAACTATGTCAGCTGCTTCTTTGGGAATTAAACCAGATACACTAGACTCACCAGGTAGATAAATGCACTTTTATCGATACGCTAAATACTTAGTGTTAAAATCTCATAGTTGCTTGTTGGTATACTTTCTTTAAATGTTTTGAAATAGGATACACAAATGTTATTCTTTCAACCAGTTACATCTTTGTTGAATTACAGTTTTCTACTTTATTCTGCGTAATAAATTGGGAACATCAGCATTATCGTTGTTTTTTGCTGCTTTTTGATTGGATTACTTTTACATAAAGGACATAAAATTCTTATTTTGAAAGGAAAACATTTTTTTATATGAATAGATCTTGTTGAGAACAACTCTAAAAATGAAAAAGAAAAAGTAGAAGAAGAAGGTAAAGACGAGAGAATTACAAATGAAGATACCGAAAACAATCGTCAAAGGTAACGCTGTTTCATAACATCATTTTAAATGCATGTGTTTATTTTTTCATTAATGTATGTCTTGGTATTTATTTAATTATGAAAATAAAGAACTTAAATGCAACCTGGTTAAAATTAAACATTGACTGCAGATATGACTATTTTAAATTTAAGATTTAATAGTACAATACCAGATATATTATATTATGAAGAAGTACATTTGATTTAAATTTTATAATATTACATTTAACTTTCTGGCTATTATTCAAGCAACAAAGAAAATATAATAACGGAGGGAATTAATAAACAACTTGCTATGTCAGATGCTCCTTTTGGAACTAAACCAGATATACAAGGCTCGCCAGGTAAGTAAATAAATATTTTATCAATACGCCAAATACTTAAGTGTTAAAATTCATAGATATTTGATTTATACAGAATTTTATCGTTCGATTGTGTTGGAAGCTTTAAGCTTATAGACACACTTTCAAATCCGTTCGTGGAACTTAACAGTACTGAGCAATGAGTATTAAGTTTCTTGCTCAAGGAAACAAACAACTTGACCCTAACGGGGTTTGAAATCACGCGGCTAGCAATCATTAGATTACTAGTCCGACGCGTTAACCACTCGGCCATGCTCCACTCAATACTTATAGATGTTTGTTGTTATACTTTCTTTAAATATTTTGAAATAGGATACACGAATTTTATTATGCTCCCCAGAAAATTTCGGGGGAGCATATAGTCGTCGGGTTGTCCGTACGTCCCGAATTCGTGTCCGGTCCATAACTTTGTAATTTGAAGTCGGATTTTAACACATGTTCACAGAAATTATCACCATATTGAGACGACATGTCGTGCGCAACATTTAGGTTGCTACCTTGAAGGTCAAGGTCACAGCATGACCTTGCAGCAAAATCGTGTCCGGTCCATAACTTTATTATTTGAAGTCGGATTTTAAAACTATTTCACAGAAAGGATCACCATATTAAGACAATGTGTCATGCACAACATTTGGGTTGTTTTTACACTTTGAACTTTGGCTGTGACATAACCCTGACACTACAAGAGGTATACCTTCATGTGTACAAAACCTATTCGGGGAGCTTCACCCGGTTCAACCGGCTCTTGTTCTTTAGACCAGTTATGTTGAATTACAGATTTCTTCTTTATTCTGCTGAATAAATTTGGAACATTAGGCTATATCATCGTTTTTGGCTGTACATAACGTTTTGAACTCTTTACCTTGACATAAAGCACATAGAAATCTTAGTAAAAAGAGTAAACTTCTTTTGTATATAAATAGATCCTGCTGAAAAGAAAACTAACAATAATATTGGAAATGTAGAAGAAGGTACAAGCGAGGGACTTCCAAGTGCAGAAACCGACAGCACTAGTCAAAGGTTAAACTGTTTCACATCATCGTTTATTGCCAAGTTCCTTTTTACATAAATGTTTGTCTTGGATAATTTATCAAGTAATTAAAACTAAAGAACAAAAATGCAGGATTGTTAAGATAAACATTTTTTGCAGATTTGATGTATATTAAGAATTGATACTTCACTGTCAGATATTTCATATGTTGAAATAGTGCATTTGGTCAGCAAGTAATTAAAAAATATTCTATCAGATCAGCTGTTTCGTTAACATTTTAAGCAAGAAAGAATATCCACTAAATACCAGAACTAATGATATTCTAGAAACTAAACTAGTCATCAGGTTTGTAAAATAATACAAAATTTATCCGTAACGCAAATACTTAATGTTAAAAAGTAAAAGATATTTGCTGTTTTATGTATTATACACGTTAAATATACAATTGTTGTATACACTAAATAAATGTTGAATTACGGTTTTTCATTTTTCTGCTAAATAAATTTGGAACATCAGCTTATCATTGCCTTTGCTTTGCTGTAACGTTGTGATATAATTACATTAACCTTAAAAGCAGATTTAAAATATAAGTAAAAAAGTTACATTCTTTCTGCATAAATTGATTTACTATATATTACAATGTGATTTTTCTTTTCAGTATGTTGAAAAGAATAGTAACACTAATATTGAAAAGGTACAAGAAGTAGCAGAACGACTGAACAAGATATGAGATCAGTACTTTAATTTTTGTCAATGAAGCTTATCTTATACATTAAGTTATGCACTGGTACAATTATTGTGTAAAGAATGTAATTTTGTGAAGGTTAATTTGTGAATACTTAAAAGAAGTATTGTGTAATAGTTCTTTATATGCTACAGGCTAATATAAACAAATTATGTGGTACATGTATTCATGTATATGCTCTATTTTTATATTCTTAATATTCAGGTGTTGTACTACGGACATGCAATAATAGCCTAATTTATACATATACATATTTATACATATTAAGTAAGTATTTTTTTTTAAGATTTACCTTATCTTTACCTTCTTTTTCTTCTGAGCATTTAAGCTTTTAGGCTCCACCAATACTATATAGTCCAAGAACAGATCAATAAATGATTTTGATAAACTGTCTTCAGCAATGGTGTCAGAAACAATTTTGTCGGTAATTAGCAGATGGGAAATAACATCTTAATTTGTTTGGTGATGGCAAGAATGGTAATAGTCGCTTATTAGCAACAAACGATATTTAAAGTGTGTTTTATTTGGATATGCAATTGATGGATAAGTCATAACGTTTCATCTATAGTTCTGTTCTAATGTTTTAAAATTGAATAAATGAAATTATGCACCAAAACGAGTACTTTATATTTTGGAAAAATGTTAAACCTCAGTCTTATTTTAGTTTGCATTCTCATAATACAATTATTGCTTCCTTAGTATATCAAATATCGTATCATTGAAATAAAGGATTAGTATAATTAGATTTTTAACTTTAAAATCTAGGGAAAGATAACAAAAAAACCTAAATCAAATGCTGAGACATGTATTGGTACATAAACATTTAGTTACATTGGACAGCATAAATTCTAACAGTGGCTTATTCAATATTAAGACCCGATCACTATTAAGATCACTTTAAGTCAGTCCCGTTAGTGGTCTTAATAGATACAATTTACTGTATTGTTAACCGTCTTATTTAATATAAAGCATTGATCAAGTCAAAAACATATAAAGAAAATAGTATAAAATTATGTATGAAATTATTTTATCAATGTATGAAATTATTTTATCAATCAGGTTCATCTTTTTTCAAATACACAATAACTAGTTTCACATTAAATAACTTTGAAATTAAAATTAATCAAGATCTTGAATGATTTAAATGTGACATTTGCAGACACTAAATTTGATATAGATTCAAGAAGTCAACTCAAACTTCCAAGGGACTGCAGCCACTTGTCTTCACCTGGCTAAAAGAAGACAAATGAAATACAATTCAAGTAAACTGTAAAAACTAGTATAGTTGATATGTTTAATGTGTAACTTATTTCTACTGACATTGTTATTCAAGAAATAATTTTGACAAAGGGTCAAAGTATTGTGTTTCCAGCTTGCATAATACACAGTAGCCACTTTAAATAGGAGAGATAACTTATTTAACATGGTCACTTAGCACAATAATGATTCGGAAAAAAAGCCCGGAATGTTCATTAATGAGAAGGCCCTAATCGAATTAAAATAGCTTAAGTTAAAGTCAGTATGCCGGTCAGCATATGTATAATATATGTTATCAAAAATAAATTTTAGTAATAACAAAAAGTTTACAAGTTATATGTTTGATGCGATACAGGATTCCGTACGTTCTGAATCACGGGTTGCGATATTGTCCTGTACCGTCACGTGGTACATGTACTACCATTGGTACATGTACTAGAGAAAATGGAATAAAAGAATTCCTTGGTGTTATAAAATAACGTATATCCAGTTTGCGGTAGAGCATTTTGTTTTTAAGACATGAACCTCTTAAAGTGACAATGTTTTGAAGATAGATTTTGAAATATTAGAAAGAAGGTAGTTTTTCTGTCATCTTCTGGAGACGTGCTGCATAAGAAACTATAATTTGGCAAATGTTTTGAACATATAAAATTAAAAAAAAAATAATATAAAAACATTAAATATTAAAAGAATATAATGTGGGCATCATCAAGATCTTCCCGATAGAGGTATGACAAAAAAAAAACATTTATTAGTGTCACATTTACCCTTCAATGTATTATCTTTAGCGTGTTAATATTCCGTAATTTAAAGTTATAATCTGCTCAAATTTGATATTTGAAAATATAAATAATTGCTACTGTAACACAGTCTTTTGTTAAAAATATAATAAACATGTTTTGACTTCACATAAAGAAGACATGTCATGCTTTAAATCCTACACACCACAGATGAACACACTATGAATATTTAGTGTCATTTAAAAAGCTGGCAGTATTTTTAAGAAAGGACCAACCTTACTTGACATGAAATATGGAACGCTGATTACATTTTTATTAGATAAGATATGTTCAGCAGGAATTTTATAGATTTCAACAAATTTCTGCAATAAAAATATTTTACTGAAAATGATCAATGTATATCTTTAGGAAATAAAGAGACACGTAAGAAATGGGTTTTACTTCCTGGAACAGGGTTATTGATAATATCTATAATACGACAGACTTTTAACAACTAAAAGTAAACATAAATGACGGAATTCTATTTCAGATTAAACCAGTCAAATACTCAACCATTTAAAACCAAATAAAATAACAACTAAAACAATAAATCATCTTAGTATTTAAGAAACAAATTAATATTAGACTACAACAAATGTTTAACAGATTTTTAAATGATCATATCCTTGCAAACAATAAATATATATTTTTCAATAGGTCATATTTATTATTTAATTAACGTTAAACTATACCATATAAAGGATTCAATAGGTTTGATAATAGCATACTATGCCAACGAATCTTATTATAGTAATTTCACAACATCCTTTGATTTATATATTACAAACATATTATGTCATCATTGAATAAATTGAAATAGAATGTAACTATGTAGTATATTTGGGTCATGGAAATGTTTTAAATTTATATTTCGGTCACGTATTTGTTACTGAAACAATATGAATGCGTTCCAGAATAAAAAAGGAAATTCCAGATGTCCTTTTTCATGGGGGCGACCTACATACACTTTTTCAGCAACAAATTTACATGCAGAGAGAGTTAGAGAGAGTGTATGTTGACATAGAGGAACAATTCCCCTATCTTTTAAACCTCCGACGAAACGCATTGCACCTGTTCGTTCTGCGGATAATATTCTACTATTTTCTATATGGATTTATTTTCTAAGGATTATGTTCGAATCGTTGCTCGGAGTTATTTGATGAATAGTCATAGAGCAAAATATTTCCCTTACTTTTAAACAGTCAACATTAATGCCTTATTAATAAATTGAAGACGATCAATACTTTTTTAAAATATGAAATAGGAGGGTTAAAAATATCTGATAATTTTTCGGTACATGCTTACATACTTTTAATTGAAAATATATAGTAGAGAAAAAAATCATACAATATAATTCACATAAAATAGATAAAATAAATAATGGGCTATATAAAATATGATGACATTTATCTATTAAAGGAACTCCACTGAGGTTTATAAGCTTAAAA